CTCCAGTCCACATTTAAGGCAGCATTGATTGAGCTGGTAGTGCACAGCATCACATCCCAGGGTTTCGTGTCTCTCCCGAATCGTGACACACTCGCAAAAAGAAAGGCCGACACTAAGGACCATACTCACAACACTGATGGATCTGGTGCAGGCTGTAGCCGGAATAGATGTCTAGCCGCTCATGTTTGCAAGGGCATCTATGTTTGTATAGAACATCTATGTTTGTATAGAATAGTAAAATATATGATATAGTAATATAGTATATAATATATATACACATATTATTTATCTATATGTTCCCCTACCTTCTCATGTTTGCCGCAGCGACGATTTCTGAGCCGCTAAAATTAAATGTCTGATTCTCTGGGCCCCCGAGCAGCGCTTTCCAGTCTTGCTGCCTCCATCAATTCCACGTCACTGGAATTGAACAAGAAAGCCGATGAACATGGAGATCATGGAGTGTTTTTTCCCGCAGAATGCAGCTGCCTCTCAGTGGTTTGGTTCTTTTGATAGTGGGACAGTCCTCATGTTACTCCAAGCAATTGTGACGGTGCACAGCTTCGACATTGCCAAATCAGCTGAACATGACAAGGAATAGATTGTGCGAGATGCTGGTTGCTGGCAAAAGCCCTCACCATGAATGCACGCTCCTGGTCATCACCCAGGATATCTTGGGCTACATCATACCACGTCAGCATAAATTATCTATACAAACTTACATTATTGAGCACCCAAGTGACTTGGAGCAACACCGACAGGACAGAGCTTTTGCCTTAAATAACGTGGTGAAAGTGGTGTGCAAGATCGTGCAAACCACTGTCTGGCTGGTCATCTCTAGCCTCTGGGAATCAGCTATCGCACAGGTCGAAGCCGAGCAAAGCTGCCATGCCTTCAGCATTGGGTTTAGCGAACTCTGATAGCGTTTTGCCGTCTTCGACTCCCTTCTCAGACCCTTCTTGAATTGGATCAATTGCAACTCTCTTCTATCTCAAAATTCAAATGATTCCACCTCAAAGCTCTAGGCTTCACTCAATTGACATCCCTTCGTCCAGGCTTCGTCTATCTTCATCTCCTCGTGTCCCAGAAACAGTCGGTTGTGGGCCTCCAAAGTCTGCGAGAGCGACGCCAAAGGCCTCAATTTGACCACTAAGGAGACCAAAGGCATCAACCGATTAGGCGCCCAACTGACCGGATCTGCTGTGAAGGATGTCCATCAGACGCCGCTTAGTTGGACTCTGTGGGGAAGACCCTTGGGACGGCTGAAGACCTTCTTCGACCCCCTACAGCCGATACAGCAAGCTCTTCGCTGCGGAGGTTTGCAGCTTGGACTCCATGGGCAAACAACTTAGGACTCTCAGTGACAGCTCAGTTGCTATCAAAAAGGTTGAATAAGCAACACCAATCACCAGTAAACACTCTCACTATAGAATCCTGCTTGCTGCTGCGTTTTGCCGTTGCCTGTGCATTCATTGGCTGGAACAACTAGCTCATGTCTCGTGATGTCTGAGGCTCCTCGCAAGTAGGTCTGCGTGAACTTTGTTGTATCTTTGGCCACCTGTCGACGTGTGCAGCTCAGAGCTGCACTGCTCGGTGTGCAGTCAGAGCTTCCCGTTTGTCTTGCGGGTGTTCCGACCGCCGTCGACGGCCTCAAACCTTCTCAGCCAACTCCTGGCCGTCGGTGGATCACTGAAGCGCAAGCGGATCACCTGCTGGGACGGCCCGGGCCGAACGGGGAACCGTGGATCCAGACATGCTCTGGGCCCCAAGGCTCGTTTTGCAGACGAACACGCTGCCGCTCCGGTTTTGAAGTGAAGTGAACACGATCAAACAAGAAGATCAAGAAGCGATGTCTGTGTAGCACTTCTCCCCGTAACACGCCAACAAAAGGTCGTAAAAAAGCTGTAGATTCTCCCCCTCCCACATCTTCCACCCTACTGTCCTTTCCTGCAAACGACTGTTTTTCAATTTGCAGCTTGTGCACAAGGTCCGTCTATTTCAGCGATTCGGGAGCCTCTTGTCGCCCACCAATAATGAACTTGATGGAAAGGCACGGGACCAGAGCCTGGGTTTCAAAAGGTTCTTAAGGTCATTGTTTGGGTCAAACTGTATCAAGGTAAACTAGAGCTGGAAGTAGGACCAATAGCCTTATGAAATTGAACTGTCAGCAAAAGAGACATTGAATTCCACCATGCAGGTGCATGGATTACACTAGCCTCTCTTCGACTTGCATGTCCCTATGTCAGTGCATAAAATAGTACCAATCGCAACAGCAACTACACACCTGTGTGAATGCCAAATTTCTGGGGTTCGGGGAGAACATCGGCTGTTGCGGAGAGTGGGAAGGCTTGAAAGGCATCATTGCTGTGGATACCCTCGTTTTGGGGCTGCTCATGTCCCAAACATGTGTCCTTAATGGAGCACATGTCTGTACGTAGAGACGTCGAGCTTGTCCACCCCTTGCGCCGGCTGGTCCGTCCTGGCCATCGTCAATATTCACTGAGATGATGGACGACAAACTCAACCTGGGCTTAGCCGGCTGCTGAAAAGCGGCCAGGGCAGCTGTTAGCAGCTGTTGAGGGGTGGGATAATGAGCAAAGTACAGACTGCAGATTGGGACGAACACCAACTGACAATGTGTGGCAAAGGCTCATTTGCGACTACTGCTGCTTCAGGAGACCACGATCAGTCGATCAAATTACTCCTGCTGCTGAGCAGATTCCACAACTGCGAGACATGAACCCCACAAGTGAAAATTCCTATGGAATGATTACACTTCTCAAAGGTTCTTCATTAATCTCAGAATCCGACGCATGCAACACTTGAAGTGGACTATTGAAGTCCAAGAAGAGTAGAAAGCCTTGTACCTGCAAAAGCTCTTGAATGTCAGCATTGAATGCGAGGATGGTCTCAACACACTTGCAGATCTGGTGGCAGTCTTCAGCTTCTTTGCGATAATGAAGGCGCACAAGAATCATGTTCTCCGTTCGCCATCTTGCAAGCACGCCAGCTGGCCTTTGAGGAGTCATCTAGAGATATCTAGAGTCATCTTTCAACACGTCGAAGAAAGCAATCAAGAAACATGATCTATTGACAAACTTATACGTATATGATGAGCTTTGATTGCAGGGCAAATCTTGATTGAGGGTTTATTCTACTTACGACAATCATGGTGATCTAAGCTAGACACGCCAAAGGGATCCAGCCTCAGCGCGAGGAGTAGCCGGCTGACAGATATCAGAAAGGCCATTGGTTTAAAGCTGTATGGGTGCAAGTCAATGTCAGCCATGTCAAACATCTAGCAGAACTTTGCAATGACTGATATGGAATGCAACACCCGCGCCACCGACTAACTTGAGGTGGCAGAAGGCTTCAAAGGGTTCTAAGCATTCCAACGGGCTATTTCTGCTTGTGCTGGAGGCACTGACAACCGCGCCTTGGAAGCTTCAGGCACCACAAATCAAGGACATTCTCTTCTATCAGACACGTGCCCTTGCAAGTGAGTGTCAGTAAAATGTTGTGTCTCATCCGTCCATAGTTCAAGGCAACTCAAGCACACATTTTCTCAGCAATGATGACCTGGTGTCAAATCGCCAGAAGTTCCACACATTCCCTCCGGCCTCTGCTTTCCAGGACCTCTCGCTGCTTGAGAGGGCTAAGCTGCCTCCCAGCTGTTGCATCCGTTGGTCAAAATGGCTTGCTTGAGCAGCCTACCGTCTACCTCTACAAATTGCAAGTGGCACAAGAAGTGTATGAAAAAGCAATATATCATAATATATATATATATATCTACCGGAACAGGAATCAACGTTTCAGAATACCTCCCGCAAACACAATTGTACTGTAATGCATGTAAACATATATGTACAGAAATAGAACGCCTTTCAGGGGTGACAACTTTTTTGTGAAGCCTTAGCTAGGCAAGTACCGGTCTTCCTTCTCGTCTTCCTGAAAGTGAACCGAAAGATGTCACATTCGACTCTTCGAGGGAGACGTGTTGGCGATCTGTTTCGATCCCAGGCCAGACCTTTCACTTTGGCCATCCTAGGATGCGAGGTGGTGAAGATGAACATGCGTCTCATGGAAAGGTGGAACAAATGCAACACATGCAATTCTGTCTCACTGAATAGCCACACGAATGAAGCATTAATCAATGTTTCGGGCAAGTATGCTGCAACTCCCTGCTGTATGGCAACGGGGAGATGTGCCAACAGGTTTCACTTGCTTTCTACTGCTCCACCCTCGGCTTGGATTTGTTTCGGAGAAAAAGGAATCATTACTTTACAACAGAATATTCACACAATCAGCTCCCAAGTGTTCTGAAGGCGATGGGTCTTCCTCGCAAGCTTTCGGGAAGTTCTTTTCTTATCTTTTCTGCACCACCACTCAATCTGCAGAATGTTCAAGCATGACTGCCCAAGGATTGTTGGTGTCGATTCTGTCCCACAACCTGGTTGAGGCTGAAGCTGGTCTTCGAGGATGACTGTCACTCATGCCGCACCGCATTGCGTGACTGTTCGTGCCAGTCCAGTGAAAATTGAGTCCAGTAGGATAAGTGGCTGTGGCCCCATATATATAGATCCAGCGGCATAGAAATCATCAGTAAGTAAGCGTCATTCCGTCTTGTCAACAAAGTTGCGATGTTTGTCTTTGTTCCCCACCAGCGAAGAGATACGACGTAGAACCAACAAATGTTTCTGCTCGTGCGGAGATTGACCCTGTGCTGCTGTGCATGGTGCTTCGAACATTCACAAGATCCAATCGGCTTCTGTCTGGTCACAAAATATCTAAGCATCAAAATACATGCAACACCCAACACCCAACCTTGTGCAAGCTGATGTCTTGAAGCGCTTTCAGAAAGGGCCAAGGACTGAAATCGCTGATGATTCATTGCAAGAAAACGACTATTGAAGTGAGTGACCCTTAATTGACAGAATTTGTGCTAATCGTTCATAATCTTTCGCTTTAGAGCCTGCTGCCAAGGCTTCACAGGAACCAGTTTTCGCGCCATTCCTTTTGTCACTCGTCAAACCAGCAGCTATTTGACAAAGGCGGTTCTGGATACCAGGGTGTTCCTGAAACCTGCGTGACATGATGGCAGTCCAAGCAAAATATGCAAATGTGTAACAATGCCCGGTGTTCTATCAGATTGTGCTGTTTCGGAAGAACCAGGCTTTATCCCAAACACATTGCAAAAAGGAACTCTCCGAACAAACGCCTTTATATAAAGAAATTGCTATTGCGATGGAGGTGTGGGCTTCAAGCTAAAAGAAGAGGCTACGCTTGTCAATTTTTAGTTGCTGATGGCAAATCTCTCAATGAATACTCTTGTCCGTCTGGGCAATTCATCGAAAGTAGGTTGCTAGCAGTGTCTCTGTGCGGAAATTGTGGTCAAAGCTCCATCAACACTAGCATGACCCATGATTCTCCCAGAAACATTCATTGCTTGGCCTTGGCAACTGCGACTCTGCAAAGGCAGCATCAGACTGCCATGCTGGAGCAAGAAATGAAAACTACTATGCTAGCTGGTAGCTGTCCAAGCTAGTAATGCTACTCTTGTTGCTACTGTTACTGAATGCTACTTATACAGTGCTATATTGATTGTTTCCAAGCTCTTACTGCTACTTAATTCTACTTGTCCACCGTTGTCAGTGCCGAAAACACTTCCCTCGTGCCGGCCACTTCTGGGTGTAGCTATGTCTTGTGGAATGTTCAGAGTCATTCTGGTGAAATCTGGACATTGTTTGGTTTCTTCGTTTTTGTGTTATTAAAGAACAGCAACAACAATTGAAATGATTCCAAGAGGTCCTCAGATTCGCCTCGACATCCTCTGATTCGGCCATTTGGGACCTCGTCAGTCATCTTTTGAATTTCAGAATCCTGCTTCAACTACAGGGTATTCTTCATTATATTTCTATCAGTAAACATGGACTGTTGGTAGCTTTTTCAAGAGGCCAAACCCTAAACGATGGCAAGAAGAAGTTGCTGGTCAGGTTGAGTTGAGCTCTAGACTTCAGAACAAGACCAAGACCTTCAAATGAGAGTAGCCAAATTACAAAATCCGACAGCAAAAGCCAAGGTAGCAAAAGTTTATAGAAGTTGTATGAGGTGCTGACAAAAACCATAGGAACAGCTCCCGTGCTTCTGGATCCGCCAAAAGGCCTTGCACCTTGACTCTCAGTCTCAAGCAAAGCGCAAGAACCGCTCTTTGGGACACAGCAGCCCAAGGCTAAGTGAGTTCAAACAAATTATATAAACGGTTGCTTCAAGGCCGAGAAAAGAGTCCAAACCAGTTATTACTTACTATATCTTACTATAATGAATACCCCACAAGAGTTATCTTCTGAAACACTCAAAAGAAAATTTGGGGTTCCTCTACACCTCACATGAAAAAAAGGCATGTTACCCACTCTCGAGTCAAGGTCGGGACATGGGGGTATAAGCAACGCTTGAAAATGCCGGGACAGGCCGGTGACCGGAACCGTTTCCGTTAGCAGTTCTGCGAGGGTTCTTCAGTGTTGCCGATGATTACCAACCTCCTTTCCTTAAAGTAGCTATCTTGTGTCCCTCTCAAAGTCTTTGCTGCCCTCATCTCCCTTCATCATGGTGTATACGCCCGCTAAAGAAAAGACACAATGAAACAGTATGAACGTGGTAGGATGTACTAGCAGTTTGTAGCAATAGTAATCTGTAGTCATGAGTCATTAGCGATATTGACTTCTCTCCTGTAAACAGTTCTCTCCCTATAAACCTTGGCGTTGTGGGTGTCACACCTAAAAAGTATATAATACATTCAGGGCGCAGTGTCGAACGACTCCAGCCGTGCGAGGTTCTCATCGCAACGCCTGGCCTGGAAAACCACACGGTGCGGATGATATTCTCGTCGATGAGAACATGCTTGACTCGCCCAGCATCATCAGTTTTCAGCAAAAGGAGCTTCCTACTTTGTTGCCAAGGTCGGTCCATCGTCTCGGGTGTCCGCATGCGGGAGGACATCGTCTCGCCACACGCGCGAGCGGACGACGTGGAGGACGACGCCTCGATGTCTCCAATGACATTGTGAGCCTTGGCCAAGAGCTCAGCTTCAGCAAGTTCCTGGCGCAGGAGTGCTTGATCTGCTTGATTAGGTAACAGTCTTGTCAAGCAACATGAAAGGGCAACGACAAAATATCCAAGCGAAAACACAAATCAAATCAAACGCACAATCAGCTTTGAACATATCAAAAACGAACGCGATTAACAAATTCCCTCCAAATCTGCAGCTCTTACAGCCCCCTGCACAGGGTTGTTTGTTTTGAGTCATGTTCGATTATTGGTGCTTGCCTTTAGAATCTTCTTTCTTTTCGACTTGACTATTGTTGCTGCTGGTGCTGCGTAATTATAAGGCTGGAAAAACCTACAACCCCAAGATACCACAGTCTTGACAATTGTACACAATTGTCTCACCTCAATGGAAGACAGGCATGTCGTGCCTGCAGTCGTGCGGTCAAGGCTTTCAACCAACCTGTGGACCGAGAGTACGGTATGACACTGTTCTGCAGACACCGAAGACTTGGTATGAAACTGGCCGTGATCGAAGACTCGGTGCGTTTGGCTTCAGTGGTGAAGATATTTGTTTAAAGAGCTTCTGTCAACTATCAAGTTGTTTCTTTGTTTAATCTATCTATAATATAGCATTGATCACTTACAGGGAACTGTTCTTAGACTAGCATTCATCCTTTGCAACGAAGCTGCTGTTGCGGTGCTTGCTGTTCCTGGCGCTTTGCAGCAGCATGCCACACATGTTGTGCATGAAAAAGTGGAAGGGTAAGTGTATGGTAGTGGTGTGCATGCATGTTGGCCAAAAGGACCGGCCGGCAATCAGCGCAATCAAAACTTCACTCACTGAAACCCGATACGATGTGGTGAATTGGAATTGGAGCAAACTCGAACAACTGCAAGAAACAAAACAATGCATGGAAGACCGATTGCTTCCCATTTACAGACACCTTCAATATTCTTCAATAGTGGTATTCTTGTGGGGAGGGTTTCAGATCAGAATTGCTTCAGCTTGCCCATTCAGCTTGCGTATCGAGTCGTGGGCTCCTTGCTCGCCTTGGTCACACAGTCATGTCAGGATTCTGCACGCAGTTTGGGCAGGGCTGGGACTACATCTTGATTACCATGACCTGGCAAAACAATTGCAATTGTCCACAAGGCGTGTGACATGGCGACAAACAAACAGCATCAATTCAAGTTGTGAGATGTTGTGAGTCTCATTTTAAACGCTTTCTTGCCGAACTCCACAACCCAAGTAGCTGGAGGCTGTTTCATTATACAATTACACCAGATGTCTTCCTGAGATGATACCCCAGGTGGTCCATCGCATGTACGAATTGTGCACTCATACGCATCCAGGCGCCAGGTGCTCTCTCCGCCGCTGCTCCGAATTCGCAGGCTGCAACTGCCCTGAAGGGTGTGGTGGATGGAGGACTGCCAACAAAGAGAGGCAAGCAAGGGAACTCTGGTGCATCAAATCGACGAAGAATGGAGGCAAAAGGAGGCAATTCATCTTGTGTTGCGTTGGCTCACTTCGCAAGCCCCAAACTTAAACAGTTTATATACACACAAACATGTTGGAGCAATCTCTGCCGTCCTCCCCGTCCTCCTCCTCTAGTGCTTCCACCCGGTCGAACCGCTGCAATGGCAGCTTGATCATGCCAGAGCCCAGTTGCGGAGCCTCCAGCTGCAGCTGCAGCTCGTAACGCATATATCTGAAGTGTATTAAGACTAACTTGTTTGATCAGGTCGGCATGAAGTATGCCAATGCCGAGCATGGCGTGCAGTTTCTATCCCATATACAGCCTAGGATATCCTGGGATTCAGGATACAGTAAAAAACCAAGCAAGAATGCAACACTCTGTCATTGATACTCCTCGCTCCTCACAGTTTGTAAACATTCTCTGCAGTCTGCACATGTGCTTTTACAAAAACACATCTGCACCATCTGCACTACTTCAAGCATTGACCTCTACCACTGCAACAAGCCCAGATCTGTTTCTGAGGTGGGGCCGTTCAGTCACATGTTGTCACAGCGGGCGCCTCAGGATTTGAGTGCCAAAAGCTCTCTCTGTCCAAAACAACCTGAGGACGGCGAAGTCGAGGATGTCATCGACGGCTGAGCCTGTTTTGCGGTTGGCTAGCGGAGGGACTCAACCAAAGGCCCCTTTTGGGAGGGGCGGCCTATATTACCTATATGGGTCCTTGTCGGAATGCAAAGAAAGGTTTCTCTTTTTGGTCCACAATGGTATACATAAAGCTATGACAATTGAAGCTTCCCATGCTTCCCATATATCCTTTATGGGTTTTACCAGCTCACATGTGACCATTTCTCTTTGATTCCATGCTTTCAAATCTTAACTAGCCGATCCGATATTAGAAACCTATAGACACCTATCTTCCTCGGCTCACGACTCTAATGGTGCTTTGTGAGCAGTGAGGCTCTCCAACAGCCGCTCAAGCCAAACAGACAAGATACACTACATCTTCGCCAACCACCTGGGCTGCTCCATTGAAGACATTCAAAACGTTCGCAACGCAAGAAGACTACAATCTAAAAATCTTTGTCTGCACTCCAAACGACCACAATCCATTCTATATTTCAGATTATATATTTCAGTAGAATTATCGTGGGAGCTAAGGTTGTGGTTCAGTTCCCTTTACAAAAGCCTCAACAACCCCTCCCTTGCCCAGCTGCCCTCCTCACATTAACGACTTTACAAAATGTTCTGCACTTTACTGCTTAGACAAAAACAAAAACAACAAAAATGCCCTTGAACATATCAAGCTGAAGAAAACCCTCCGTAGTGACATCAGATCTGCGATTTAGATTAACGTTGACGTGCTCTCCCCATTTCTACCCATGATGAAAAAGCACATCAGGACAAGGCACTCTCTGTGAGGCATTCCAACTCACCCCTCTGCAAGATGCCATCCTCTGATACTGAAGGCAATGGCCAGTCCACATCACCTTTGTGTCAGAAAAAGGAAGACGTGATGCACTGCAGAATGCCTTGCAAACACCTGGAGAATGCTCAATACAACGATGTTCAATCTGAAGGACTCTATGCCAAATCAGGAATCAGGAGTAGCCTTGGTGAAAGTCCATGCAAATCTCTGAGATGACTTTAGGCAAAGCCGGGATTTGTGTCAATGGTCTAAGGGTGGTCGGTTCATCTCTTGATTCATGACACGTCATGCCTTCAAGAATTGCATGCTAAAAGTATGCACTGCTGCCGAGGACCATGGCCTTCATCGCCTTCGAAGGTGCTGGATCCTTGTCAGGTGCTCGTAGGGTTCTATGCCGCATGGACTTTAGCAAGTGCTCGTATCCAAGGCTTCTCCATCGATGTTGGAGCCTATCACCGACTTTAGTAGGCCTCAAAAAAGCGCTCCTAGCAAGGGAGAGAGAAGGAGAGGAGGAGGCAGAGAGAGCACCAAAAGAAAGGGTGTCTCTGCCTATTGCACGGGCAAGTGGAAAGTTAGCCTTCTGTCAAGATTGCATGTTCAAAAAGAAGTCGTTTCAATCTTGCACTCCTTTATGCCCATTCTGGAACTAACATGTACAGGAAAAAGAAAACAGAAGCCATGGCTTCTCTGGCAATTTGTGGCTCCTCCCGTTCGGCTCCCTTGGGATTCCGAACGACGAACTTCTCGGAGCAGGAACTTGTAGGCCGTGCGCCCAGCTTTCTCCTTCAACAGAGCTGTCAGTGATCGATGTCATGGTCTTGCATCAAGCAAACAAGCCATCGAAAAACACAAAGATCTTGCCAAGCCAAAACAAGCATGGCTTGATGCATAACGTACTAATCAATCAAGCCCTGACTCATGAAGTCACAGAAAATCAGCGAGCAAGTAAATGCGTTCACCCTTCACGCGGACTTGTTATCCAAGACTGGCATCAAAACAGGCGAATGCACCGGGGAGCAAAAAAAAAAGAAACAAAACCGAATAAGAGACCGGCCAAAGGGGCGGACAAATCAGCTCAAATTGAGCAAATAAGTGAAGGTCGGCAAGCCATGGCTGCAACAAGGGTTGAACTTTTCTAACCTGACTTCTGGTTCCTGGCATCTTACCTGTTTTACCATCCCTGACATGGCCGGAAGATGAATGGATGCTAGCAATGCAAACAACATCAGGGTTTTGACTTCACGGCTCCTGTATCCGCAGAGGTCGATCTTCTGACAAGAGCTTTCTCTCTCGTAAAGGGCCCATCGGTGCAATGATCAGCAGTTCATACCTGTGCATCCCGCTGGGTGAGAATACATCGCTCAATACAAGTGGCCTCAGCTACGACATCGGTCGGGCATCCTGGGCATCCAAAATCGGTCGTGGCAAAGTCATGGGTTCTCCAAAATCGGTGGTTTCGTCAGTCTCCCTTTCATTGGCCTGCTGGGATCCCCTTTCAGCTTGTGGCAAAGGCTCTGGATGACCTCCTGAAGTGGAGGAAAAGGTGTCACAGGAGGACGAGAACACCCGGTCTGGTCCTAGAGCGAGTCATGGAGCAATACCCGTAGCCGGAAACGTACGTCTTTGTAGGAAGACCTCTGAGGTGACCAAAGACCCAAGACCTCTGAATTGTCCAGGTGATTTTGGAACTTGTGCAACTGCTACACGAAAGCAGATTTGGGCCCCATGAAGCTTACTGTAGTTCTCTGACCATGGCAGGTAGCAAAATGGTCCAGTCCTGCACTGAAGAGTCTTCCGTAAGCTGCAGCGTTTTGTACCTTGTAGCAGTGCATTCCGGCTGAAGGAAAATTCCTGCACTGCCAACTCGCTTGATGCAAGGAATACTCATGGAATAGGGCGTCATGGTTTTGAACCAGTTCTGTCAGATTTATATACAGTATATTATATATATACGCACATAGTCCGAGTTGCGTATTATCTGCAAAATAGACCCTTAGCATTCCAGCAGACTTCGCAGGCTTTGTGCTTTGCTGCATGGCTACACATGGAGAGCGTTCAAAACGAGCGGGTGGGAACTTCGAAGCAGCACCACAAATCACCACAAACCTTGACACTCAGAATTGGCCTCAAACAGTGGCGTCTGATGGCTTTGTGCTTTGCTGCATGGGTGGGAAGCCTCTCGAAGCCGTCAAGGAAAATGCAATCTGACTGTTCGAATGTGTGCAAATCTGAATGTTTGAGCCGGCAAGCGGAGCTTGAGCCAGAAGGTGACACCGACAGTGTTTCTTCTTTATATATCCCAAGTGAAAAAAGACACTGCTAATATTCCAAGACTGATCCAATAAAGCAATACCATGCAAACACCACACATGGTCCATACATTATGACCTACACGGACAACAATGATTGAATGCGCCATGCAACATGATGGACGCCTTGAACCTGCTTGAAAGATCTTGAAAGTGTTGTATCTGGATAAGACTAGTGACTAGTGTCCCTCATGTCAGCTAGAAAGGTCTTACGTTAAAGATTCCGGATTCTGTCAAACAAATACAGTGGACAAGCTTTGGATCCTTATGTAAGCGTGTCATTTACCAGAAAAGGGTGAGAAATCAAGTCCTTTTGCTTGCCATCTGCGGAGCAACTGCAGATCATTGGCACAGGACACCTGGCCATATCGCAGAGAACCAAATCAGTCAGCAAGAAGCCATGGACAGTTCTGGGTGTTTACTGTTAGGTTTCAACAAAGGCTCGTGAGTACATGTGAATCAATACCATTCTTCTTCGCATGGTACGATGGCCATCATCACAAACCATTTTTGAGGACCTGCCACAAAAGAAGAAACACACAAAGCGAAGTATGTTTCAAAGGACTACTGGACTACTGGCATCGAAGCCGAAAGCGTTTCAGATGGGCAGGACGCTCCTCGGCACCTCCAGCTGGTTCTGCTGGCAGCTGCTACAGGGCGGTGCCACGCTCCAAGTTTTGCCGTGTTTCCTGACGTGGAGTGAACCCACATGGCCATGCTGGTGTGAATAAAGCGCCGCTTGTTTTTGGCACGGGCAATTCCTGGTGACGATGATAGGGGCAAGATGGGGCAAGGGGTTGTTGCACATTTAATGACCATAGTGACAGAGATAGGTCAACAAAGAGTGCGGGGATGATGCAAGATGGGTGTGATGATCCCATTGGTCGAAGAGTATGACGAAGATGAAGCTCATCATAGGCTCTCCAAAAGCTCTCCAAAGTATGAATCGAATGATGCAAAGTCAAATATCAAGCAAAAATGATCATATCAAATCCTATGATTTAGTATTGCAACTTGCGTCAGACGTCAGAAGGAAGCCAACCGAATGCAAATCCCTTGCGGTTCTTCAGATCAGGTCTACATTGAGAACCTGATTTCTACATTGAGATGCACATGACACCACAACTCCTCGGTGTAATCACCAAAGAAACGGTCCAACTTCTTGTTGAAGAAGCCTCAAAGGTGGACAATTCGGAGTCGAAAACTGGAATTTGGAATTGATATGATAAAACGATCCCGCCCCTGTGAGCACTTCTTGAGTGAAACCATCCAGGTAGAGTGTAGATGGACAAGTAATTCGATCCCTTGTGCGAATGATGAACTCCTGCGCCCCCAATCTTGCTGTTGGGGCACAAGTGAACGAAACCCAAAGGGTGTGCAGAGGGTCCTATGCTCAGGGATGTGATCAGTGATCAATTTGGTCCATCTCTTGTAGAGCCGGCACATTTGTTGCGCCTGATGAGTATACCTTTTGCATCCTTTTGCTTACTATATATATTGATCAAATGCATACGCATTCTTTATGGTAGAGAATGCTAGAATTTAGGCTCCTTGAAAAAGTTGTTGTACTTCTAAAGTCATTTCTCTCAACCCGAAAGAAATGCTAGAAGCCGACCACAAACCAAGAATGTTATATATATAGTCTTGTCTGGACAAGGATTAGGTTGTAGCTGCTGTGCAAGTGAAGGCCCTATCTGATCTATTTGCAAGACGTTATCCAAAACTTAGATGTTTGAAGAGGATCTGCCGTGGGGTGCTGGTGAACCGCAACAGTTTCTCTTGAAACAAAGCAAAATACAAACAGTTTAGGAGAGAAATTAGGAAATCCTTCCCTTCCCCCGAAATAGCATGGTACTTTTGCAAAACGCTATACATCGCTATACCAAACAAAGCCCCCAGCGCGACCAAGCAACATTTAATGCCCTGTTGGCAGTGAATATTCAAGGCTGCGACAGCCGTCATTTTTTGCCAAGTGGCGATTCCTGTCGTTGACGTAGGTCCTGTCCTCGTCGTCGTTGTAGGCCCGCCTATTGCATCAAACCAGCATTCAACTACATAATCCAAGGGCCAAACAAAATGAAGACAGTCTTTTGTCGCGCACCGCGCGTATTCAAGTCACTGGTTGGCTCCAAGCCTAGCATACTATGCTGTCATTGTGCTCCCCGAGCTTGGCTGTTTCACTGACTCACTCTGAAAGTTGCACCTTCTTGAGAAGTCCTTCTTCTTCTCCTCAGAGAGAAGCTCAACGTGAGAGGTTCCAATCGCGCCTATTTCGCCTGATATTCGATATCATTATCACGCGGCTCGTCCTAACATATCATGGCCGAGCATCCAGGATCTTGTCCATCGCTTCTCCCAAGCGTTCTTTTGCCTGTCAGCGAAGCCAGCTTCCAATCAACAAAGAAACGGATGTGGCAAAATCCCTGGATGCAAGCACGTGCAACCCACCATCTGCACACGCAGACTCACTCACACAGATGTAGGGCCAGAGGTGCATGCGAATGTGCAGGCAAGAGCACTTGCTGCTCGGTCCAACTGTTTATGCTCAAGCCTCCAGAATATCTTGCCGCTTTGAAGTGGTTCCCTTCCGAAAGGTGTATTCTAGAAATTCAAAGCACAAGAACTCTCCGCTCCAGCAAATCACTCCAGCTCCGGTCCAGCTCCAGTGATATTTCTGGCCGGCCTGTTCGGTGGGTTTGAAGCCAAAGCCAGCAAACTTCAGGCCTAGAGCATGCAAAGCGCCCATGTTCCGTCGTCGCTTTGAACTGACAAGACATGTTTTCGTGCTATGCGGCACCAAAGAAAGTCAGTAGTCGGTCCTTTCCTTCGAATATGAGTCATGCGTGCAGAAAGTCAGTAGGAAATAACTCTGACAGAGTAGGAAAGGAAACAACTCCTCGCAACTTCATGAAATTCCTTGGGCAGCATCCACCATCTCCCAAGCAGATCTGTTAGCAAGTTCCTCATGGTGCATTGTACAAGGGCGACAGCGAATTGTGCTGCAGCCAGTCCTTTTTGTTCATGTTGGAAGATCTAGATAGGCATAGATCTAAAAGGATTAACACCAGTTCTGCAGTCTGAGGCAGGAATTCAAGGCATGATCAATCATGAGGCCAACAAGTTGATTCAAGCCAATCTTGATGTTGGTAAAGAAGAATGGGGGCTTAAACAAGTTCCACATAATCTACCAGGTTTCACAAGCAAGTCTGTCCACAAGTCCACACCTCCATCACCGTCCTCTTCAATTTCCTTCTTCTGCCTTTCATAGGCCTGCCAATTGACCGGTGCCTAAAGATTCTCATGAGAAAAGTTGGCTTGTCTCATCAGTCCTGCTTTCATGTTCTTTAAGGATCTCAACGCCGTGAATATCAAACCCTCACGGCAACAAAGGCCATCAAAGGTCCAGAATGGACACACGCAACTACCTTCAGTTTCGGAATGGTGTTCACTTCCTGGTGCTACAATGTGCTACACTAACGGCACTTATGGTGCCATCATCTATGTTGAGCTGGAGCAAAGCGTTCTCTACGACATTTTATAGTTTGGCTGCAACTTAGGAAGAGGTTGTCGTCAAGTTGTCGTCTTAAGCAACTCGAAGACGAGAGCACAAACGTCATGCAATCGATGTGCAAACCTTTCCCTGTCCAGAGCCTCTTGGTTGAATTGCACGTGTTTCAGTCGCTTCTCATGGGCACGTAGCAGAGAGTCCTCATTGGCAGCAGGTTGTTTAGGTTGGGGTGGAGGTGCAAAATCCCCAAAGGTACCCAGAGTGGCATCAGATTTGTCAGTGCAAGCTTCAACTTTTGACTAACATGCTTGTACTCTGACCAGGATGAGTTGATTTCTTGGCAGTCACATCCCACATGCTGCAAGCTCTGCAAACCTGTGTGTGTGTGACTCGGCAGCAGCTTCAGCGAGATTCCTGGTTGAAGACATCCCAGCCGAAGGCATCAGGATTTCCTCTTTTCGAGAGCTGGGTCGGTTGCAAGGAAGCAGTCTCAAAGACTGTTGGCTAAATTAAGTTGCGAGTGCCACAACATGGCTTCACTTGTCCAGGAGCTTGCAACCAGTTTTGACCAGCTGCCATAGAAGCGGAGGGTGCTTAGTGTCAATGCGTCATTCAGTTGGGGCCGAATCATATTTATGCTGATTTGGATAGGGCCCTACCAGCTATGGAGTTGGTGTCCTTTCTTCTTCTTTGCCTCACGCTGCTCTGCATACCTCAGGTGAAAGAATGCATGTTCAGGAGATGGAAGCGCTTAGTATCAAGCAGGGTGGAGAAGGAATTTGCCCAAGTGAGCAGCTCGGTGGACTTCAACTTTTGCGCAATCCCGAACAGCAACTATGTTGCTTGTTTAAACCCTATTCTTCGTCGCAGTTATATAGGGAGAGAACCCCAGAGTCCGTGACTGCAAAGTGAAGCACTGCTCAAACTTGCATTATCAAAGAATACATTGTATTGAATCCTAGGAACAAGGTTCGCTACTAGTAACAAGTGCATCGCTTCTAGTAACAAGTGCCTTACTAGTAGTAACAATGTTTGCTATTAGGAACAAGAAGCTAGTAGAAACAAGTGCCACGCTACTAGGAACAAGTGCCTTACTAGTAGTAACAAGAAGCTATTAGGAACAATGTTCGGTCCTTTTAACACATTGTATTGAATACATCTTCGGTTCTCAGACCGGACGGACAAGTATGCCGATACGCCGGTTTATGACACACACGGCTGGCTGCAAGTTTTTGCAACGCGGAACTTTCTCTTCCCTTCTTCCTTTTGAAATCGGCCCACAGAGGCAAATCTCTGGATGCTTCATGTATTGCCAAGTTTCTCTATGGTGTCCCCAAGATACTCCTTTCCGTCTGGAAGGTTTGATTTCCTGGCAACCGTTGCCGACTCAAAGATCGCGAGCGAAGGAAAGAGACTCAGTCTCTGCATTGTATCATATCAGAAAGGTGGATTGAGCCGGAGATGAGTATCAGCGCTTGGTTCCAAACCCATAGACGAGTGACCTATATAAATTAGCTATGCAAAAAATTGAAGAAGGCCGAAGTCTACGTGCCTGTTCCGTCATCAATCACAAACGGAGCAACACGCAAGTGCACAGCCTGTTGAGTATTTCTACTGTATATCAAAATGACAGTACAAGTGTCATGCGGGCAAATTGGCGCAACCGTGTGCCAAACATGCCAAACTAAGCCTGGTTCGAGAATCTTTCTTGGTGTCGTCCTGTTGACAAAGGCCACGCCGATGCCGCTCTCTTTGTCACAGCCCATTGTGGTCAGATTTGGCAAAGCAAGTTCTAGCCACGTATAAATCCATCATCATCCACGTATACATCCAACTCAGAAGTGCAAGTCTATCAATACCTAAAACAAAATACGAGTAGTCTGGCAGAATCTGACACAACAGGACTGGACTGGACTCTTTAGAGGTGTCACATGGTTTCACTCTTGCGCCGAAGAGCCGTGATTTGGGTCATTTGGAATACAGTATTTTGGAGGGGGGTAACTGCTCTGACTTGATTGGTCACATGTCTTGGAGCCTCCTCCTTCTTCTCTTCTTCTGCTGTTCGCCTGGACCGTCATGTGATTTGTTGGGCTTCCCTTGCTGACCGAAGCGACCGGGCAGGGTCACATCCCTTGATTGGACCGGCGTACGGTATGCTTCGTCTAAGTCGAACATCCCAACTCTACACAAACTGGACACATCACAACAATAGCATGTCCAAGCTGAAGGCAACAAGAAAAGAACCTTCTCCTGGCAGTGCTACTGCAAACCAGCCGTAAACAGCCGTCGGGCCCTGTTCTGCTGCAATCGGAATCCGTGTCAACCATGAAGGCCTCGCGGCCATCTTCTTGCTGTAGCCAGGATCTGATTCCCTCTTCTGCTCCTCAATGACCTCCCAAACGATACAGAATTGCACACAATGCTCAGGCTGGCCTGTCCTGAGCGAAAGTGAGTCAGTGAATTTGACCTCCCAATTTGCATTGCACAGAGTGTCTTTTCTTAGGCCAAGGACGAGGAGTCTGGCACTTCAATGAAGCAGTCTTCTTAGAAGTCCAGCTCACCAAGCTTGTTAATTACGTGAAACCAAGCGATTCAGGTCCTCGTCAAACTCAAAAGCAGCAAGCGAGAGGATTCGTCTCCTTTGCGGGTTGAATAGAAACTCTTGGGATCCAAAAAAATACTTTCCACTTCACTTCGACACTCAGACTTTGGGGAGGTCACACGCACCTCTTCTCGCCGGGCCTTTTCAAGCGCAAAGTAATGTTCGTCTGGGCTGGGCATCACAAAGACTTTCCTCGTCTTCTTGGCCTCTCCCTGCTGCTTGACAGGCTCTGCTTTCTTGATCTCGATGGCGGTCTGAAGACGTCGCTGTTCCGCAAGGTGTACCAATCGACTGAAGTCAAACTCTTCCGTTCGGGACTCCTTGGGCTTCGGCTCCGGGTCCGTTTGCACTCCCGTGCTTACCAGACTCGCTGGCTGTCTCCTTCTCGAGATCTGATCCATCTGCCTGCAACACGTCAGTCCACAATGCCATGTCTCCTCCGTGTCGCCTTCGTCTCTTCCTTCACTTCCATCTCTGCTCCGTGCATCGAACCGGTGGTCTTCACCCGTCGAACGCACGGTCGATGGGGAGCCTGGAGAACGCTCGATGTCGTGTCTAGGAGACGACTGCCTGGCAATCGTGTGCAGTTCCAGTTCGAGGTCCACGCAGTGCTCTTCCGCCCCCGCGGCCTCGGTCTCCGCCGCGCGAAAGCTCGGAGAGCGTGCGGTCGCAGCTTCCGTGGTTCGATTCTCGGACACGGAGCTCTCTTTGCTGCTGGTTCGCAGGTCGGCTTCCAGATCGAAGTTCTTTTGGTCTTTTCTGGACCGTTTCCATGGCCATGTCCATGTCCACTTCATTGAATAGAACGATCAACTAACAAGTCGCACAATCTGATTGTTGCAGTATCACCCCTCCTTGTTTATACTTAGTCCAATGGCGTACAGTAAATAATGTCATTGGGGTAGGGTAGTACTCTGAACTCTGACAATCCAGGAAGCATGAAAATTGATGAACCATGCGCATACCTCATCCTCATATCCTTTTGAAAGCACCTGCAGGGACCTTTGAAATGCAGCGGGGCAAGAACTTGCACAACCTGGCAATACAAAGTGTCTCCGTTGCGAGTTCATGCCTCAGACCGTCATACAAAATTGATCGGCTCAATCATCTGGGAATGTGCAAGCATAAACAGAGAGAGAGAGAGAAAGAGAGAGAGATGTGCCCAAAGGACTGTGCATGCTGTCTCAAAATGCAAGTTCGCAGGTGGAAGACCAAATGCGGCAAACGTGCATGCGCTTCTTCCGATTGGTGTTTGGTTGTTCCCCCTTTGAACGTGCCTCACCCAAAGCATAAGGAACGTCTTTCTCTGTGTCAGGCAAGCTCAGAAAGCACACCTAGGACCTAGTTCACTTAAACCGCACAGCCATCTCAGCCAGCCTCCTTGTTGTTTGCCACGCGGCCTGCTTGAGAGACTCTGGACTCCGAACTCCGCTCCAAAAGGAGCAACGGTCTTGCCTTCAATTCAACACCTTGCATGTCCTCAACGCTGGTTTGGGAGTGTCCGTGTAAATAACATCGAATTGCACCAAAAGGCTCTGACACATGCAGTGTTTGAATGCAGCACTCGACAGGTTGGCAGAAATGAGGCTCAACATGCCCCAGCCAGAAGCTCCCACCTTGATTCATCTTCAGCCTCCAGAGCATCCGCTCAATCGCCAGCTTGAGTGGATGCTATAAAGGGTCCCAACCAAGGCACCCGCACGAAAAGTTTTAAGGAAACAGCATTTACAACAGATTCAGAATCTAGCCAGCAAAAGTCTCATATGGCTAATGGACCTAAAGGATACTACGGATACAGTATATATCACCTGCAGAGTTATCTAAAGATATCCTTCCAGTATTCTATGATTTTTTCTAGACCTGAGACCAGCGCCTGAGCTCGTAGAGCTTCCTCTCACGCTCGGTCTTCGGTGGTGGTAGTCCAGCAGCTGCAATGCGGAGCCCGCGGAGACCGAACGACAGCTGGTGACGAACATGACTCTAAGATTCTCACACCCAAAGTGATCCCAAGAGTTCAGTATCAATTGGAAGATAATGAGCTCCACTAGACCGAAAACGCCCCTACGCGTGTAGTTTCTGCAATTACACATTCAACATGCTTCTGAGGATGCCTACGGATGAAACTGTTTACAATGATATTACATCAGACACTGCGTTATTTAGGCAATCGTATGTTAATGATACACTCAAAACCAACTGCACCATACCAGCAAGCAGGTAGGGAATAGTAGGCCATCGCTATTAGGTTGGAGGCCATTGCTTCTATCATACAAACTATCATACAATTATTAGGTTAATCAGTTGATCATCTCACACAATCAATCTCATCGAATTCTGGGGTCCAGGCTTTCACTCGGAATCGTCTCCTCCTGACCCAAGTGGCACTGGGGAGGAGAACGTCTCACCAGAAAGGCCGGTCAATGGTCACTAGGCTGAAGAGGCTCAACCTGTTCTTTTGGGAGCAATGTTTCTTTTAACAATATATATATAAGTCCACCAGACATGCATGTGTTCTTCATTAAGTGACATACATAATTGCTTCGAAGGTTTTCGGTGACCGTATGATCGCATGATTTTCTTTGATCACTTCGTCTTTTCAAAGATACGGCCACCGAGTCGCCATGTGTGCATCCTCAAACCTTTCGTGAGTCGCCATGTTGAGCAGTCACAAGTTGGCATAGAACATCCAAAGTCACAAAATGTCATAAGTGCCCTCACGCATGCGAATGGCATCATATGGCATCCATCGGGTGGAGTATATATTCGAATGGATATCCCTGCGCCTCAGCCTTTCGTTTCAGGCTGGTGCCACTGATCTCATTGCCTGTGGCGGCGCCACCTGCAGGGTCCATGTTTGCACCTTCCATGTTGACACAAAACATAAAAGGATAAGAAAACGGTAGCCTTCCAAACCCGACCATGATTATATAATATAAGATAAAGAATAGCTAACAAATACCTATATACTTTCATATAAGTTTTTAGAATCTGTTAGATGTGGAAATGCAATCGCAAGATGTGGCAGGCAGGAAGCATCTAGGATGTCTCATACCCTACAAGTTAAAAGGCTCAACTCTCCGCACAACGGTGTATGTGTGTATTGACTTTTTTTATATCTACAAGCGAACAGCCAATATTTACTCATGTCTCTATGTCAGAACAGACACAAATGCTCTTGGTGATGTCGCAAGATGGTCTAGGAATTGATCAATTATCCTCAGTTGAACTTTACAACGACGACACCTCCCCGTACAAACCACCTCGCATTCATTCCAACGTTGTCGATTTGGGTGCAAATTCGGGTAAATTTGTGTGCGAATTCGTGAAAAGCTTGAACTTTGGCACCATCACCTGGCTTGCCAGCCAAGATCTGCTTCCCCTGTTGCGCGGCGTTCGCCTGCAGGGCACGCCAGACATTTGACAAGTGAAGGTTAATTGAAGAATCCTGGCCTAAACATGTCCCACAATGGCAGCACCTGCCTCATCTGGTTCTATCGGGTTATATGTTTGGTCCATACAAAGGGATGTCCTGTCTTCAGTGATTCTTTTATATTAGCTGCTCTTAGTAGGCTGTTAGTTCACGCCATGCAGCCCAAACGGTCATGCACATTCGTGCCCAGCCACCCCACGGTTTTCATGTCTCTCGTTGGTCCCCAGTCCGCCTTAGGGGCAACATCTTCTGTCAGGTTTTGGATCTGCTTGCTCATCCTGGGCCACCAGGTCGTTTACAACGAATGGCACAAGTTCTTCGCCAAATGGCTTGAAGTTCTTCTGGCAAACATGAAGTCATGATTGGCATTTGGCAGCACGCACCCAGCAGAGTGCAAAGCAAGTGACTCAGTGTGGAAGTCGACTCCACTTTGTGTCTTTGCGCCGACCTGCAAGCCAAGTATGGCCATTTCGTCAGCAACACAAGTCTAAAACGATATGATGTTGTTTAATGCGCAGCCTCCAAAAAAACATTGACAGCGAGCAATTGTCAAACGCGACAAACAAAAGCTATACCAAATCAACTCTCTGGTCGTGTCGATGTGCTTGGCGTGAGGGGATGGACCTAGTAGAATTGTCAGTGGTGAGCCGGTCCACTTGCACCTGATTGAATTGCTGCAGCAAAATGTCTATTCCCAGTCCCGACTGTGGAACATCCCTGGAATCTGGAAACACTGCCACTCATAACACTACCACCCGCCAGCCTCTCCACAACCAACGATGGTGCAAGACACCCGTGGGCGCTCGTCCCGGTCCTGAGTGGCTGGCAAAGCGCAAACTCGAGCAATCTGCTCCGCTGCAACCAACCATCCGATAATCTAATTCTGATTCTAGTCCAATGTAACCATCTAACTAACCATCTATATAATACATTCATACAGTGTTCAAACATACTATAATACCAATCAACAACCCATTTTGCTCAAACATTCTGTCTCACCCACCAAGTCAGTCCCCGATCCCATCCGACCGTCCACACTTCGGAACATCGAGGCCCCATCGGTTGGCACGGCAGCTACTGCACGGATCACGTCCATCCCTTCAACCACCTGGTGGAGGGTTGCTGATGCAATCTGTCAGACCCTGCCGCATTCTACGTCCAAAACGAAGTTGCAAAGTACATGTATTTGTGAGCAGCTTCATTTACTATGGACTTCTGGAAAACTGTGATGAGATTAGACCGCAGTTTTACGAGTGCATCAACACATCGTGGCATCGTCAGCCAAAACTGAGTGACGTTTCGATTCCTGTCTCCTTGTTCCACATTACAAAGTAAAGCTGCGCTTTTTCAGGACACATCCGCGAACCTGACCGAAAGCAATGTGCTTGTTGTCAAGTTGCACACTGCGCCTTCACAAGCCGAAAAAATGGGGGTTGTGGAAGGGCATCCTGAACGTGCGTAGAAAGCAGAAAACAACGAATTCATGGCAATGGCAAAAAAAGACTTCATATCAGCCACCTATGACTATGACCATCTGAGTTGGCGTCCTCAGTTTCTGGTGGAGAACTGGAAAAAAGAAGAAACGGAGTGCTCCCCTGTTGCGGAAGATCCCTTTCCAACCACCGCGGCTGCGTACTTCAAGGTGATGAAGAACTGTGAGCCATTGCTGTTTCGGCCTCACAAAGCATTGGAGCAGTTTCTGAAGAACGAGCTTTCGGAAATGGCATCTTTGCCAAAAGATGCCAGGGATGACCCGCGTGGCCGTGTGGTCTCTGGGAACTGCATGTAAAGAATGTTTATGAATAACAAGAAGCTACTAGTAACAAGTGCATCGCTACTAGTAACAAGTGCCTTACTAGTAGTAACAAGAAGCTATTAGAAACAAGAAGCATACTCGTCTGGATGTTGATTGTGATGGAACGGTGTTTTCATGTCTGTGGAGGGAAGTTGAGTCGAGGGGCAAAATAGGTATCTCAACAAGGCATGTTGGTTACAGCACTCAAGTCAATATTCTACTGACTCCAGGTCAATCTGGACTTTTGCCTCTTCTCTCACAGATCTCGGTGTCCAGGCCTTTGTTGGCCATACTGACAACGCCTGCCTGTCAGCAAGCTGGTGTCTCTTTGGGGAATTAAGCACCATCCCAAAGCAGGCTGGGTGAAAAATAGTGAAAATCCATCTGGCGTGGTGGTGAGTTCAAGTCTCTGATGTGCATACGTATGCCATATGAAATGTGACAAATTGTGCATCTCATCCCTATCTCTACTCTGCACCTGCCTGGGTATGCCGCCTAACAAAGTCCTCATCATTGAAGGTGCCCCCGTAGATGCTCTCACCACCTACAGTTGCAAACAGTTCTCGTCTGTGCCTCAATGCCTTGGGAAAACTCTTCCAACGCTTGCAACTGTGAAAGCCACACATAAACGTAGAAAGTCATGCCAAGTGTAAAGCAGGCAAAAAGGGTAAAGCAAGTGAAAAAGGCACATCACATCTGTCTCAATTTAAGGGGGTGTTTATAAGCTTGCTAAAGGATGGTAGACTCTTCCAAACGGTTCAGCAGTACAACTAGGCAACCCTCACCATCTCCGTTGTTGAACTGAAAGTCACCAGTTTGGATCATAAAGTTCTTCACCTGGACTCGTGGCTGCTCCAAAATCCCGTCCAGTGCACCGCTTTGGTCTATGCAAGAAGTAGCGTCCTTGCTCCTAGTAGCGATGCCAGGAGCCCCTAGTAACTAGTAGCTTCTTGTTCCTGGTAGTAAGGCCAGGAGCCCCTAGAAGTGTCCTTGCTCCTAGTAAGGGCACTCGAACGCCTTTTGAGAATGCTGGATTGTTGCACTTAAGAAGTGTCCAAACCGACTACGCATGAGAAAAGAATCCATACATTCAGGACAATTCCGTGCTCTCGCCAATTGCAGCTGCAAAAACCCACACAAATCTACCAGGAGTAAGTACTCGTTGTTGGGGATCTATTCTATGGCAAGAACCTAACCAGGGGCGCAAACCTAAGAGTTCAAAATGGCTGACATGAAAAACAGTGTAGACCTGGCTGACAATCCCATGTGAAATGCTGGCACAACATGGACAACTGGTGGAAACCTCTCACCTCTCATGGCTCCTCTCTCACTTGGTCTGCAAACGGAGCGAAAGATCTGACAGCCCTCATAGCTCAGCCGCTTCTTGGTATTTCGGCCCAAGCCTCGTCCGTTCGTTCGTGCGTTCGTGTTCATCGCCCCACGGGAAAAACATGAAGCAAACAAAAACTGTGTGCAAAACAAACCAAACCATTACCAAACCAAAGTGTCGCGAGAAACATCATGTTCTGCTAATCAACAATAATCAACAAACAGCATCCAATTGGTTCTTGCCCTGTGAGGCCGCAGCCATATTCTCCCGTACATAGGCCACGAAAGTTCTCCGCAGCCCTTGGGGTGATGTCGGGGAAGAGCTCGATGATCACCCGGCCGCCTGGCCAACTGGCCCGACTCGGTGGAGAGGAAGACGGTGGAAGATGGTGGTTCGGTTCCGTCATTGGATGTGCTCCAACCGGTCCCTGAAAAGTCTGTGACCATGGAATAGTGCGGGTCATTTAGACTTAAGAGTTTTATAGAGTTTTGCCACATATAAGAAACTATGAGTCACCTGGATGAGCAAAAGCTCGAGGCTTGAAGTGATCTAGCTCAAACATGCTCCAAGCACTTCTTTCATCTTTCCATTTCTCAAGATATACTGCGTACTGCGCTTGTAATTCCTGAAGGGTCACCAACTGGGTCACCACTGTCCCAGGCCTGTTCGGCTGCCAATGGAAATGTCTAGGTAGACACGAGGATTCTTGCCTGGTCGAGACATGGATGTTTGGATCGGCCACAGCAGCGTCACCTGGGTAGGCCCCGTATGAGGCCTTTCTACGTGCGAATGCCTGGTTTCAGCATGACCAGACCTGGAAGACCTCTGCGGACCGGTGACCTTCAATTGATCAATGCTTCGGTCTGTTTGCCTGTTTGGAGCAGTCATGTCCTCATCATGGAAATTGAGGGGCCGATGTCAGGTTCTGCACAGACCATCATAGGTCGACCTAACTATATTGGTTGTTCACTTGGTTTCACGAAAAAGGGGGTGACTGTATACAGTTATACCCACTATTACAGTAATCAACCAACCGAAAAAGGCCATAGGATGCCATGGGCCATAGGTCTAGTTTGAAGTTCAACGGTTTTCTCTCCAAATCGGAGTCTCCCCGCACTCCTCGCCCCATGACGAAGAGCTCAGACCTCGACACAAAAACGATCACGGCTTCGGTGACGAAGGCGAGGTGGCGATGTCGGAGACAAATGCCGAGGCTTAGCCCTGTGACCCTGCGAGTAGTTTGGCGAATTGATGTGAAGTGTAAAATGATGTAAAATGTTCCTATGAATCTGGGATACATCGCAGGAGAGCTGTGAATCTTCAGAGCATGCACCAGAAAAAAAGGATGTCCGGGTTTATCACTCTAAGCTGTCCAGCAGTGACCAGCAGTCCTGATTGTGTTTCACTGGATTGGAAATGGCATGACTTGGACAATGTCTCGAAACTCCCAACGAGTGGACAAATCACACACCAGCGCTGAAACCGAAATCTCGATCAGCTACGTAACTATTCCGGTTCAATCAAATTGCTGCCAAGTGGCTTGTTCCAGCGTGGCAGTCAAAAGGATGGTCTGACCATCTCAAAGCCCTCTCGCTATGACCTGCCTCTATGATATGCTTGATACTGAGGTACTGTTTATTGCTCACAAACAAGTCCAGCATCATAAGCTGCGACTATGCTTCTTCTGGAAGTCGATATAGTGCTCCTTCACGCGTGCTTCAAGGTGCTGAAGTACAAATATGCAGCTGATCTGTTTCTGCATGTTTCTGCTTCAGTGTCCCAACAGTTCCTGTGCTGCTCCTTGATTCCTAGCTTGACTTGATACATACATAAGCGCAAGGCTCTCAAGGATCACAACCACAGCAATGATTAATCGCGAGGTAGGCGAAACCAAACACAGCGCCATGTTGATGCGGGTTGCCGCCACATTACCAGTAGCACAAGCACCGGCTTTTCGCAATTAATGGGTACTCACTCGCTGTTGAGTTTGCATTGGTTCGAGGTCCCAGCCAGGCAGGAAAAGCATGCTGGTACGTTCAGCGATTACATTCATCAGGAGGCTGAATGTTCTGCCCTTGCTTTTGTCACCTGCCACTGACCAGTCTGTGGCCGGATGTGAAGGCCATCTTTATGTAGAATCCTTTCAGCTCAGTCAGCCTGACTTGATCAACTAGCAACATGTCAGATTCACAACATTCCTCTGAAAAAGTTTCTGCATGGTTGATGTAATGATGCGTCGTCATAGGCGCCCGAGCCCTAAGAGAAAGTGATTCGATCGTGGCTTCTAGGCCCGCTGCTTTAGAAGCTACTTGGGAAATCATGGGACATCAATGTTCGAGCCGTTTTGGGTTTGTGGAAAGCGATCGCAGAATCACCGTGCCGCCGGATCCCGCTGGCAGCTGCCATCAGTAGCGTAGGCCCGGTTTGGCCGCACTCTTGGGTCGCAAGAGGGGCATTCGTGGCCCTGCACTTTTGGGCCGACACATGTCCTCAGCGACAGGATTGCCAACTGTTTTGTCTTTAAGCCCGCTCGCTCTCCCCTCCCCCCTACTTAATTAAGTAGAGACTGCCTACTTGATCAAGCAAGCTACTACTAGCCACAAGTAATTACGCTCCTACCTAGGACGCAGGACTTCTTCAAGGAAGCCCCCCCGCCTGAGGGCGAGGGGAGCTTCCTTGCAGAAGCGCTCGCACTAATGACTTGGTTTCTAGATTTTTAGGGAAACTTAACTAGTAACAAGAAGCTACTAGGGGTTCCTGGCCTTACTACTAGGAGCAAGGACGCTACTAGGGGCTCCTGGCCATACTACTAGTAACAAGAAGCTACTAGGGGCTCAACCGGTGGAGAAAAAGATCACATCGCCCAGGCCCCAAAAGAGCATCTCACAAGCTTGCTGCAGGCGTCAACAAGCCTTTTGAGTCCTTTCCCGGGCTTAAAGCGTGAACGATAAACTGCAAAAACTTTGCTGCACTGCATTGCATCTTTTCCCGATATCTGTCACGACTTGTTCACAGCTTTGTGTCAGATGCGTCAGTACCCTGGCCAAACCCCCTCCAGTAAGGAAGTGTCCCACAATATGAGATCAACACGAGATGCAATCAAAACAAAGAGCGGTCCAAAGAGAAAAAGAAAAGAACTGGTCTACAGTCACCACGGTCTACAGCAATAAAAGGTCCACGGAAAAAATGGAAAAAGTCTACAGAAAACGGAGATCTAAAGGAAATCTACAGAAAGAAAGAAAGACAAAATAAGGAAAAGAACCATATGAGATACACCAACCCACAACGACCTGCACCGACCATCTGTGCAACAAGGCCACATCACGTGACCTGCTCCGAGAAGAACGCCTGGCTCTTCGGGCGTCCGCGCAGTCGCGGGATGCTGCTGAGTCCGAAGGACGTCCGACCAAAAACGTGGGCTCCATGCCCTCAACTTGGCTCCAGGAAGAGGTCGAGCCGCAAAGTACTCAACATGTCCATCCATCCGGTCCAGGTCCAGGTAACAAAAAGCTAGTAGGAACAAGTGCCACGCTAGTAGTAACAGGTGCCACGCTAGTAGTAACAAAAAGCTAGTCCATCTTTGACAAATCGACAAACAAACATGGAACGGCTGTGAGCAGCCTTCGATGTTCCAACGTCGAATCAGCCCTCCGCGAACGCCTTAGCGGATCGGTGGCTCCCATCGGATGCTTCGTTCTTGTGGGCAGAAAAACAGGCAATATGGATGGATTCTCACTAACCAACGAATTAGAGGAAAGTCCACTTTACTAAGTTAGTTGCTCGAGGTACTAACTTAGTTTAAAGAGACTTGACAAACACTGATCAGTGCACCAACCAGCAATTGTTGGCACTTGCACCACAGGCAAGCATGCCAACCAACGACTCTTGTCTTTTGAGTAAGTCCTTAAAGGCAAATCTCTGAGTTTAAAGCGGTGGTGGCGGCGCTGGTGGTTCCGGACCGCGTCCTGAACAGTGGGCTCCGGTATGTAATTACAATTAATGGAAGACTCCCTGAGTGAAGTACCTTCACAAATCAACGCATTCCGTCAGCCCACCACTCCCAACCCTCCTCGCCAATCTCCAGGAGGCGGTGGCGGCGAGCCGCGGTCGCCGCCCCGTGGCGAGCGCAGCGGCGACCGCGGCTCGCCCCGGGGAGAGCGCACAGGCGATCGCGCTGTTCGGCCCTGGCAAAAGTGATGGTGAAGGCACGAATTGCGTGACTGTTTATACTTATTTTACTATTTATATGTCTACCATCTATCCATGTTTATCACTATAATAGGATACTATAGGTATTTACTCACGACTTTAGTCACGGTCTCATTGACAAGATGGATTTTTGGTTGCTTCTCCCAGACACGTTCTGCCTTCCATGGTGGTCTCTTTTTGCAAACACTGTGGCGCTCTTTCTCTCTCTCCCTCTCTCTCTCTCTCTCTCTCTCTCCTTTTCCCACCCTCCCTCTCCCTCCCTCCCTTCCAAGGTCGCAGGGGATGCCACACTCCGCAAGCCTGGCTGGCGCAACGAAGCGCCACGAACGTGCAAATCGATCTGTTGGGCAATGGAGGAACCTGAAAGAAGGCAATAGGAGCATCACCTAACATATCAGGGATAGGAAACAGATGAAAACAGTCACTCTCAGAAGCAATCGCCAGTTGCCAGCAACACTCACCACACTCTTGAATCAAGACAAGTCTCAAAACAAGTCTCAAAAGTGTTGTGAGAGACTTGTGAAACACCTTGTGAAACAACTTGTGAAACACTCAAAACACAACTTGTGCAAGATTCAAGAAGGTTCTTCCTTTTGCCCGTTGCTCGACGCTCCGTTCACTGAGGTCATCGAAGCTCACGGATCATCCGGCCCCTCGTCGTCGTCCGCGCGGTACACGGCCAATGCCACCCGCAAGGGGCCCGAGGGAAGTAAGAGCTCACCATTGAGCTCTTGACACCTGGCACAGGTGGCCCGAAGTGGTTATAGTTATGGTTTCAAGTAGTTTCAATATGTTGCAATGCTGAAAAAGGTCGGCGCAATCTCCGGAAAATCGATCTATCCCACATCGAATCGAAAGCACTGAGGCGATGAAGTCCCCAAATCTGCGAAAGGCGTTAGTTCAATTTCATGACAAACCTCCGCACCTTGCGTCCAACTTCTGTGCCTATACCCACCAGAGGAAGCAATTCGACTGCAGAGCAATGCATCATTATCAGTGCCTGCCTGTGCACTAAAGGTCGCTCCTTGTGCAGCAAAACTCGTGGATCTCGCCAAGCAGGGCGTAGGAAACCTGGGCAGATACTGCCGACACCGAGAAATCCTGGGTGCCGTAGCAGAAAACCAAGGCCAGCCGAAAACCAGACGAGACATCTTCGCTCAATTCAATTGATATCAGATTCTGAAAGTGAAGTTTTACCATCCTCTGTCCATCTATCTGTCAGAATCTGTCATGTGGGGAAAGCAAGCCGCAACAAAGATGCTTAAAGGATCTTAAAGGTCAGCCACTGATTGGGCTGTCTCTGTAGAGTGCTGTTCATGATTGTTGCATGACATGAGCCGCTTACCTTGTCAAAACATAGTCCTCATGAATCAAAAACAATGATCACATTTGCTAAGTGGTGCTACCTGTATTGAAGTCAAGAACATGTTAGGTTACCACAACAAAAGAAGACACTCATGAAACCACAGAAGCCCAGCAAATAAGAAACATGGAAAGAACCTGACCTGACGCAAATGATCCCATCTTGCGCCACACAAGTCGGCCAGTCCAACAACACAGGAGCGATTTTTGCCTTAAAGACTAACAGCTGAAGAGTGATCAAAAAAAGACGCCTAGGCCCGAAGAGAACATGTTTGACTCTTCCTCGGCACCTAATAGCGATGGCCTCCAACCCAATAACGATGGCATGCAACCTAAGAGCGATGGCCTGCAACCTGATAGCGATGGCCTCCCACCTGAGAGGGATGGCCTCCTCAAAAGGAAGCCTAGGCCCGAAGAGAACATGTTTCGCTCTTCATTCTGCCTACCTCTTCGCTGCCCTCGGTGTCTTCCTCACATTCTGCCCGTTGTGCCGTGTTCTCCAACAGTGATCCCAGCGAGACCACTTCGAAGTAGCGGCGTGGTGCACTGACACCGCGGCCCACTCTGACAAATGCACGGCCGATGCAGGTGCCTTTTCTATGTTGAGCTGCGAGATTGATAGCATGTTCAGTTTGTGCTGCCTTACCGCATCCTTCGCAGCGCCAGCCTCCGACAAACTTTCGCACCACTTCTAAGGTTGCATGCTCAAAGCTATTTCAACTGCTTTGTGCATCTTTGGCGTTGGCATCTTGCAGCGTTTGAGTTCTTCAGCGTCGGTCGAGGATTCTCTGGTCAGTTGTAGCAGACTCAAAGTCTGAAGTTAAAACTAACATTTGGTAGCGTTGTTGCCTGCGCCCAAATGACCCAGACGGGTCCGGTCGGGTCAATACTGAGGGCGTTGTCTAGTCTGGTGCCAGCTATACTTTATGAGGAGTTGTTGCAGTTTTTTCTTGACCTAGAACTGGCTCCCAAACTTAGGTGTTCCAGGCCTGCCGGCTGAAAAATCGAGTGGGGTGACAATGCCAACCCCTGCTTGCAATCGAGGTTCATTCCTTGAGGCTGCAGAACAGCGGTTCGGCCTCGACTCCAAGCTCCGCGGCACAACAAACGCAGGCCTCGGTCAACCGAAGCATCGTGCACGGAGCGGCACAGCGTTGATTCCTCCGACCATACGCTATAGTACACTAGATGACCCTCCAAATCTACTAGTACTAGGAAGCGTCCAAACGATGCAAAGGGTGCTTCTGCGTTCGTTGTACGACTAGTAGCTGTAGCTTCTCTTCGCTATGAGCTATCTTACTACAATTTCCACAGCCTATCTCCCTCAAAAAGGCAAGTAGTTGGCCCACCGCCCGCAGCAGCCCGTGGTGTTTTGCACCATTTTCCGACATGTTCTGACATCTGTGTGGAGAACATGGTCGTCGATTTCACTACAGAATCTTCGGCTTCACAACATTGTCATTGGTGTATGATGCATGTTGTCATCGATTAAATACATTAAAATGGGCTGGGTGTGCGGGGGTGGGGGGCCTTACGGGGAGATCGGGTCGAATGATGACATGAATGTCATGTGGAGAACATTGTCATCCTTTTCATTAGATAATATTCGGCTTTTCGATGATGCGGGCGGTGGACCTAGTTATTCAAAAAATGATTGTACCGGATCCAAAAGTAACACCTCGACCAAGAAGCCCATCGATGACCCTCGCCACAAAGATGTCGAGATTCTGGCCTCTGGCAGGTGGACGCTGTGGAAGCATTGCTGAGCAGCCAGAGTTTTTGAGTGCACTTGCCATAGCAAAGCGTTGGGAACGTGTTTTAAACATTTTACGTTTTGATTCGTTGATGGATGCCAACAAAATGTGTTGCAAATCATAGCAATTGTGTTATACATCCTTGCCATGGATCCAGCAGTGGGCTACCAGGATGGCTGGAAGAACTTCACCATCAGCAGGTCCAGCAATGTATCGAAGCGACGCAAATGACCCACCGTGTGACTCTGACTGTAAATTTTATGGAATTGTATGTGTTTACACCATTTTGATAAACATACAATAAAACACAGAATGATAAAAGAAAGATCATAAACAATGGGGCTGTAGGGCTGCCTCGCTCCTCCCCTTACCTCTAGGCCCCGGACGGTCCGGGGGCGCCCGCGGGCCACAAGATGGCACCTTGTTGAGTCTGAAGATCCAACTTCAACCTGCAGTCTTTGTGACCATGCTCACCATAAAGGACCTTTGAAAGGCATGGCTGTAGGGCTGTAGGGCAATGGAGAAACTTTCCTCTGTGTACACTCAACTTGTTATATCTATTCATATTTTATCATAGTTAGTGCATGCCGCAAACCAGAATATATAGCCCAAATAAGTCAGTTGCAGCAAGTACATCAATGATACACGTGCTTGTCTGATTGAGCTTTGGGCAGCAAGCGGCGCAAGGGACGTGCTGGGTCAAAATAGCTCTCCTTCAAAATTCAAGGCATCTCGGGTCTCAATGTGTCTCAATTCAAGGTCTCTGGCATGTTTCCTCTCGGATTCAATCCCAGAGTCTCAGAAAAGTGCGCTTAAAGTGCCAACGTCAACCAGTTCAACCAATCAAGCCGTTCAACCAATCAACCAGTTCACTCAGATTCTCAAGGGTAAGTCTCCGTGCTTCGGTGGTTCAGAAGTGGCTCCCCTTTGTCCTTTGTCAGCTTAAGACCTTTGAAGTTCCCACATCCCGCTCCGAGACAGTGAAGAGGCGAAGGTGCAAGGTCAAGGTCACTGAGCCAATCCTGTGTCGCTGAGCACTGACTCCATGGGCCAATCTGTGTGGAGGCCATGTGTCCAATCTGTCCAGTCCTGAGAATTGCTGGAGGCGAAGCATTGACGGAGGCCAAGGGTTCGCACAAGCCATGGAAGGCATCGGAAGAAAAGGACGTCTGCCAAAGAAACAGCTGCCTTGGAAGTGCGAAGAAAGAGAGACCCCCAAACGGGGGGGAGTTAGAGGTCAAATCAGTCATGCGAAATCTTCTTCATTGAAGCTCTTTTCCAGCCCAGCCAGCTGGAGAGAGCTTTGTTGAAGAAGCTTGAGATGAGAGGGTGTCCTACTACTTAAGCTACTATATATATATATACCTAATTACTCTTATTCGGTCACCTCACGGCCTACCTTACTTACTTAGCTTCAGCAGCTTCAGCAAAAAAAGACATGACAAAGATAGTATACATGGCCCTGCTTTGACATGGAAATTCTGCCACCACTGCCAATTCTGCCAGATGACGCCTCCGGAAAGCGTCGGCGCAGCGCAAAGATTGCCTGAAGAAGACCCTACAGTAGAAGAAGTTCGCGCAGTCTTGCAATTGAATGCACTGTGCCTCACTATGACACATGCCATGGGTGAAAGTGAGGAATCGTTATGCAAAACTACATGAATGAAACATCTGCAAATGTTCAGACCCATTAGGCAGAGCCTTCAGGTTCAGCATTTTAGCATCACCATCCCAGGCATCCTGGATTAGTCCGGCAAGCTGTCCAGGTGTCCGGAAATCTTCGACGCTGCAGTGGTGCATGGAGCGGATGTGCTACCGAACAGAACATCCTAATTAAAAGTGGAAAAATACAAAGCAAGGATATACCAGCAGCCGACAACTGAGGACATTGAGAGCAACATCCATCAGTCTGTCCAGAAAGCGGCAGCGAAGCTTCCTCGGAACATGTTGATCAATCAGAGGTTATGTGTTCTGCATTCCACTATGACTGTGTGTGTGTGTAGGCAAATACACGAGGCACATGCATAAGGGTACCAAATCCTGTTGGCTCTGTCTCGATGATGAAAAGTGTTTTGGTGCTTGCGAAGTTTGGTTTGGCATCCTGTCGCCATATGCAAATGTAGCTGCCGGCAGGGTCAGGGTTCATTGAGGGTTGAGCTTTGCTGTGCATTTTGGATGCAGGTGGTTGGAAAGGTTGAGGATACATGCAGAGAATGTCCCGGAAATTGTTTGCATGGGCAAGGTTTCAGAAAAAAAATAAAGGCCCACAAAGCACCTTCCCTTCGCTGACTTCGCGGAAGCTGGTGTGTTCATCTGCTTGATGATGTCAGAAAGACTTGCAAATAGAATTTATATACAAAGGGGGTCAATGTCCGTGCAAGTTAACCAATGCCGAGGAAGCCTTTTGAAACCTCTGCCGCCAGCAGGAATTGTTAGGCATGACACAGCGTGAAGTCTTAAACATTAAGTCTATCTGAGTCTCTGTGTTCATGTATTTTATGTAGTTATGACTGACAGATTTGTGCATTGCCGCAAGAGGCTGACATGATCGGCGAGATGCGGTGCTCCAGAACGAAGTGGGAAAATGTTTTGAACATGCACACTCAGCAGCAGGCGAAGCAGGCCCAATTTGGCTCTCTGCCGAGGTTTTGACATAGCTGAATTGTTGCTAGCTGCTGGAGTGTGTATTTGAATTCTTTCCGAGCAGCCTTCTGAGCGGGCATCACTTAGACTTGAGCTTTGGAACTATACCATCCTCCATGCATTTTGCAAGTAAGACTGGCACAGTGGTGGGGTCCTGAATTGCTGATGCTTGAAGCTTCTCATTCACAGGATCATAAAGGGATGGTCAGGCGTCGGAATGGAAAACTGGATGCCTTTGTGGAGCTTTAACTGTTTGCTTGAGTTGTGGCAGCTTTGGGGATCTTACTGGAACTCTGGGCTTCAATAGAGTATAATAGATATAATAGAGTTGTATTTGGTTGGAGGCCATCGCTATTAGGTTGCATTCTTTTGCAAACTAGGAGTGGCCATGAGGGCGCATGATCCTTGCCATTGGTACCTCATTGGCAGGAGCCGTAAGGCAGTAAGGATGGCAAGGGTAATGAAATGGTTACAGTCGTTGGCAAGAAAGACAAACAGGAAGTGCATTGGTGGCAATCCTGCGTGGAGCAAATAGAGACCTCAAGTTGAACAAGTACACTCAAAAGATGTAGGAGGTCCAATTTGCCAATGGGCTCGTTCTTTCCCTTGGCCATGGAAAGCGTGTTATGGCGAAAAAACCTGCGTATTTTGCCCGGGCTCTCAAGACTTCGTGCCATGCTGAGCACGGTCAAGCCGTTGCCAGCCACGTGTGGAGCCGCCAAACGAAGCCGCAAGGCATCGCCTGCCTCCTGCCGGTGTCGAGGATGTGTGACGGGTGTAATCTGCTTCCAGTGAAGCTAGGCTCATGTTATGCATGGGTCCCCAAGCACAGTGAGAAAAACACTCAATACCTCACTAGCTTCGTGAGCAGCGGCATCCCGTGGCATCTAGCATCGGATGTTCTAACATGTTCTAACAATTTACTAAAGTTAGTACATTAAAATACAAAGATATACAAAGTACGTCGTCTTGGAAGCCTTCTTTCTTGGAGGGCACTATCCGGTACCCGCGACCCCTAGTGGAAAGCGGGTGGCCCTAGAGGAAGGGCCTGGCTTTTGGACAAGCTGGCCATGTCCCAACAAGCGCACCACAGGGCGGACAAGGAAGAGAGGTCCAGCAAACCTGAGTTCTTCAAACTGGACAAGAAGCACGAAGAAGCATCTCCTTTCATTGTCCACATGCAACTTACACATTCAAGAATGTGTTCCCAGGCTGCATTGACATGGTGACAGTGGGATAAAGGCCTCAATGACATCAAGGTGGCCACACATCACGATCTGCAAAGTTGCAAATTCTTGGAAGATACCATTTGGATTTGCGACCAGTCCGGTCCAATCTTATTTGTCCCGTGACCGAAACGTGCAGGCAGCTAGGCTACCGCCCTGTGATTGCAGAAACGGAGCATGGCGAAAACGTCGCCCAAAGAATTGCCAGATCAGCCGAGGCCATGGTGCAGACATGGCAGCATAGTGGGAAAAGAGAAAGCTAGTGGGTCTTCCTTCTGTTTGCCGCAGGTGTGCTTCGATAGGTGTGCGCGTGGCTGTAGAAACATTCAAGCTAGCTGTGAGACAAAGTGACCATGAAAATCTGCGTCGACACGTGTTTGGGTTCGCCACAAATGCATGGCACAAGTCAACAGTTGTTTCCTCAGTTTCGTTTAGCCTCCGGTCTTACTAGGGGGGAAGCCATTGCTATTAGGTTGGAGGCCATCGCTCTTACTCTCACAGCTCCCATGCGGATTCTGCACCTGTCTGTAAGTTGAGCCAGCTGGGCAGTCGGTTCTCAAGGTCGCAAGGCACAGGCCGTTTCAGTGGCCGAAAAAAGAAGCACCCAGCTGACAGCACGGGCATTCAATTTAAGCCAAGCAAACAAAGTCCAATTAGCACTTAAGAGCATACCAAGTACTTTCTAAACTTGCAAGTTGCAACACCGCAAAACACCGGTTGCATCTTTGGTCAGCTCATTCGACGTGGCCTTGACGGTCCACTTCCGCGGCAGTGCGCAGGTGGAAACGCCCTCCCTTGCGGCTCCTGTAGTCGATGCGGATCTTTCATCGATTCATATCGATTCATCCGGGGTTTTTCTGAAGCTCTGCGGAGTTGAATAAGTTGGCCCTTCTGAACAGTCGATCAAGCCCATCGGGGCCATCCCTTCCTTATCCTGTCTTTGTATCGAAACGCTTCGGCCAGGTGGGTTGACCCCTTGTCATCCCTTTTCAGAATCGAAAACGCGTTCCAACCTACCACCAACTCTCTTGCGATTCGACTTCTCTTATCTTTCTGGGCAGTTAATGTGGGTTGACATGTTAGTTTGCAGATCATTTGGTACTTGATGGTACTTGTGATCAGCATTCCGCCTTCGGTCTAAGCACCATGAAACCCAGCTCCGCAGCACCGCGCCTCGGATCTGAGCCTGCAAGAGGCTTGGAGAATCGTGAATCCCGTGGTGATGAGAAGTGTTCATTGTGTCCCTCTCAGCATCACCATCAAAATTGCCCGTTGCACCATAAGTTTCATTGAAATCCTATGCAGCAAAGCCTGAAATACCAAGTCAATACAGCGGAAGAGAATGTGTGCGTGTGTGTGTGTGTGTCGAAGGGAAAGACATTTGCCCAACCAGATGTACTGAATGTACACTGAAGCAGACCAAAGCAAACAAGAGTCCAAGTCAGCGACTGAGTATGCAAGCGACTGCAAAGCAAACGGACAGGCTAGAAACTAGGAGGTGAAAGAAGTAAAGACTGGTAAACCGCATTAAGCCAGAATTGAGTACATAGTAGAGCATGTACACCATAAACGTTTCACCTGCCGGTTCGCAGCGCCATGCATGTTCCGTTCGCACGTTCAGACTGTGGCGAAACCCGGAAGTTGCCCAGTCAAAGCCTTCACTCTCTTCTGCACGGCTCCGGGGTGGCACCCCAGCAGGTTCTGCAGCGTTCCGGGGATGAGACCGTCTCGGGCTAAAAAAAAGCAGGTCTGCATCTGAGTCTCATAACAACTCTTGGAGACAACACCCAACAACTTTGGGGTGCACCTAGGGTGTGCCTATCACCACGTTTCGTACATTGGACTCAATTGACCAAAGGACTTCGAACGCTGATTCATGCTGCATCCTTGCTTCAGTGACACGGCCAATCTAACCCAATGCTTGAAAAATATGTATCAAAACGGATCCCAGTGCCTGAAGCCCTGCCTTTGGAGCGTCGCCGCCGTCGGCGACCCTGGCTAATCCGTTGTCCATCGCTTCCAAGGTTCGACTGGATGTGACTCGATGTGACTTGAAGGTTCGCTACTAGGAACAAGTGCCACGCTAGTAGTAACAGGTGCCTTACTAGTAGTAACAAGGTTCGCTACTAGGAACAAGGGCATCGCTACTAGTATATAACAAGGTCGTCGCTACTAGTAGCTTCTTTCTACTATATAGTAGAAATGCCCTTGTTACTAGTAGCGCGAAAAACTTAAAGACTGGCACCCTCTCGGATACGAGACCCCACTCCTGGCCGTTCTCGTCCGGAGCGCCTCCCAGACAGTTAAGAGTCTCAGACTTCGAGACTTGACCAGAATATACAGTATCAGAATGCATGGGAATGCATCTACCACCATCTCCAGGTCTGTCAGCATTTCTGCATATTGTTCAGTCCAAAACGAATCAAGCAGGGTATTCTGGTGCTCTTATCTTATTTCGGATTATTCATGGTGTTCAAGGTTCCACTTTCCGCTACTAGGACTTACTGAGCACCTGCACCATCACGCCGTTCTTTGAGGCGCTCCGCCTGACAAACACAGGAGGGGCATGCATGACTCTCAGGAAGCTCTGTGTGTGTGTGTGTCGGCGTGTTGACTGGGGCGACACCTGGTCCTCATACGTATGTGGCAATTATTGTGAAGCCATCTGGCTCTTCTTCGCTTTGTCCCAGGATGTCCCGGGGTTAAAAAAACACACACACATGGAAAAGTATCCTTAAGCAAGCAGCAATGTGCAGCCAGTCAGATAGAAACTCCCTGCAATTCCGTCAGGTTCCGAATGCTTTCCTCGCCTCTTCCAGGTATCCACTAATCTTGGATCTCAGGCGGGATGCCACAGCATCTTCCTGTGGCCAAACGATACATTTTGCCGCAGCTCGTGGAAAAAAGAGTGCCGGTCTTGATTTTACCGGTCTTTGGATCGGTTGGTGATCTTCGGTCCTCTCGCAACTGTGGCATCACCTCGAGTCGACGGCATCACATCAAGCCGCAAGTGCAGAGAGACGCCGGCTACGGCCGGTAACGCCAAGCTCCGAAAGACACGCACCATGCGTATCCATGCGTTCTGTTCATCCTTTTGGTCAGCGGTACTTTCGTGTCTGTGGCCACATCCAAAGCAAAGTCAACCGAGGCTGCTTCTGGTGCTCTTGGTCTTGGACTTTCTGGGGACAAGCCAACAAGGGTTCCCTGATTCATCCAATTCTCCAAGCACTTTCTATCACCCAAATATCCTCACAGCTAAAGATCAGCAAGCTAACCAGCAGGGCTCACCGCACATTGCAGATAGGACTGAGAAGCCAACCTCAAGCAAGATTTTCAATCCTGTGCAGTACTTGTCATAGGCCTTGACCAGGCAGCTGGGCAGGGAAATGGCAAATGGCTGTCCGGCCCGTCAAGCACTGAGATCGTGCGCCCTTGTGCTACAAGGTGTGTTTGTTAAGAAAGTACGGCCTGCGGCCCGAAAGCTTGCCATTGCATGCTCTACATGTGTATGTATATATATATATATGTAGACAAATACATTATATATATATATAAATGTGTGTTACATGGTTATATAATATATAGTTGTATGATAGACACTTTTCCACGCAGACACAAACAGACTGTTTTGCTGCAATTATCAAAACAAAAATTTCATCTCTCCGTCTTGTTGGCTTGATTCTTTTTGAAGAAGCCTTTCTCTGCGCGCATATTACTAGAAAGGCAAATGGGAGACAAGAGAAGCCTCCAAGTCCCAAATTCGGCCCTTCCCGATGTCACCGATGTCCACGTGCGCCTCCTCAAGCTTGCCGCTCTTTTCAAGGCGCTGGCCATTTGACATCAATGTTTCCCCACGCCTGGGTCTCGGGTCTGGCCCGAAAAAGGTGTCACGAGGATGCACTGCAATGGCTGTGATGTTGACAATTTGTTTCCGCTTGAGTCATGAAGACATGTTCCAGAAAGGATCTGTTCTCAAGTGGAAGATTCAGAAAGTCAAACAGAAACGACGACATGACAACGCAAACAACAGAGCCACAAGGAACAAAACGAAAACCAGGTACTTGTACCGTTTTTGCCTCGAGATTCGGATTGTGCGATGGGCTCTCATATATTGTGCTCTCATATTTGTGATCTCATATGTATGCTCTCATGTGCTTGCTCTCATTAACCGCCAAGCTATGACACCTGCAGCTTAGTGCCAGCCATGTGCACGGGAAGGGAAAGAGGCTGCTCCAGCAAGTTGCACACACTGCTTTTGCTCTACTGAACACTGTTTGGGGTATCTTGCCGAAATATACAGGTTTTTGTGCATTGAGTTCACCTTGATATATATATATATTAAATTATAGATATAACTCTATAACTATCTGGTGCGTTAAATCGACATCCAATGGTGGAAGTTCGGCCAGTCGGCCAGCTCCCCTGGGCTCCCCACTCGATTCGGGCCTCAACGCTGAGGTCTTCCTTCAAGCCCTCAAGTGAACAACCGTCTCGAGAACGTCATCGGCGTTCCATGTCCAGTCCAAGAAGTCAAGGGGCCTTGTCCGTATCTCCAAGTTCTTACTTGCAGTCGTTTGGCCTGAAACCCACTGATGTTCGGCATCCGTGCCATTCTTGGCGGCTCTTAGCTTGCTCTGTTTTGGAATGAAAGTTGCATGACACTCAGTTTCCATGGCACGACTTATACCGAATGACCATAGCACCATGATGTTTCCCGATCATCTTCTGCTGTGACAAATTTACTGGCTAATGAATTTAACTGATTGCCTGTTTGAAACGGCCTAACCAGCAAAATTGAATTCTCCACGTTGGTGTCCCATACTTTTTGCGGGAGCAAGCTGATTGATTCATTGATGGTAAACTTTGGATGGCTACAGTAGCGTACATTAAACTCAAGCCTTCAAATGTCACACAACGGCCATTAACTAATCCTCAGCACAAGTAAACTGACTACTCCGATCTCGATTTTTTTCGGTTCCTATCGCATCGGAGTAACAATGAAAGTGTAGGGAAACCGGGAAACCAGCGTCAAGTTTTTCGACAGTCCTCCCGCCTGTTTTGTAGAGTCCAAGGACTTTTTCAGCTTCTCGGTCTGATCCGGCAGGCATCGAAGCGGCCAAAAAAGATGTGTTTGAACTGTGCAGCTGTCGGCCATCGTGTCTTTTTGCGTTCAGCTTTCACCATCGTTCATCCTTGCTTTCCTGACTGCCGTCTCGTGTCTTTTCGTGTTCGAAACCGATTCCAAACGTCTCTCCGATCGGTCCGATCGGTCTGATCGCCTCATCCAAGTAGCCGTGGATCTTGGACTTCAAGGCCAGCACCGGAGGGGCATTGGCATCACCTGCAAAAGACCATGAGGATGACCCAAAAGCATCGCATGACCACGTGACTTGGGTAAATAGTGATGGACAAATACTTAGAACAAAACTTTGAAAAAAATTAAAACAAATTGTTGTTCTAAGTGAACACTTACAACATTGAAGTCGCATGTGAAGGTGAACCCGTAACAATCATAACAATCCCATAAATACTTAGACCAATATATCAAAAACCCTCACACATAGAGCCCCTTTGGCCATCCCTTCTTATGCTGGGTCATTAACTTCCTGGTGCTGCGCAAGAAGTGCGATGACTCACTCCTTCCTTACCTGGGATTTTTTCGTACTTCTTCGTGCCGCTCATATCTATGTACTTGCTCGGGGCTCAAACACGCCTAGGCCAGGCATCACCTTCAGCAAGTACCTGCTGGAAAGGTTTGAATTTGTCCATGACATGCTGTTGTAGCGATCCACTAGGTGGGAGGCCATCGCTATTAAGATTTCAAGACAGAAATTGCTCTTGGGGTTCTTGATCAAAGCCAACAAGTCACAGGTTTGTGGCAGGGCCGATGAGATCCGATGAGCTTTCATACAATCAGCAAAGCTTCTTGGGGGCTGTACTGCAGGCCCTGGTAGAACTTTTCCTCAGCTGCGAGCCAACACAAACTCAAAGTGTAGAGCGCACAGAAAACGGACGTTTGTGCATCTCCTTCAAAAAACTCAAAATTCCCTTGTGGGACTCATCACAAACTTCAGAATGAAGGAGAAGATTTGGATCTGCAAGCCAGATCAAGCCAGCCTTCGGTATAACGCTTGCATGCCGTTTTGCCAACAAATGGCAGTCAAGCGACACTTCTAAAGTTTAATTCTCCCCCTGTACAAATTTCATCCATTCTCTACATCTCCACATGGGCATTTCTGAGGGACAGGCTGAAGATGCGATGATTTTTTTTTGTGGACCATTGTGTATGTGGATCCGCTGTGTCGTATGCGTCACAAAATGACTCTGCGTCGTAAGTCGTCTTTGAGAAGTATTTCACCACTTGTAAAGCAGTGTGTAGGTGCGTGGATAACAGCTGAATGCGGCACTTGTCTGGCTTTCTGGGCACAAGAATAGGTTAACTACCCACTAAAAAACGAAACTACTTCTCTTTACTTCGAATGAACCCCACCATGACAAACATTTCAATCTGACCGCTCTTCTGGCATGTATTGAAACGTTTTGTTGGCGTTCGTTCTGGCATCTGTTCTGACACGCTTTATGGCACTTTTTCTGGCATATTTTTTGACATGCTTTCATCTGACATTCTTTCTGGCATATCTTTCGGCATTCTTTCTGACATTCTTCTATCTGGCATATTTTCTGCATATCTTCTGACATTCTTTCTGGCGTTCCATCTGGCATACCTTCTGACTCGCGGTTGAGGAAGCTCGCGGTTGAGGTCCGGCGGGGAACACCGCCATCCTGCACTTGCGGTTGAGGTCCGGAGGAGGAGGACGAGGCGGAGGAGGAAAAGGAGGACGGCAGCTGACATAAAATCTAACAACCCTCACCTGACAGGTGGGGAACAAAACACAACCTGGGTTTATCCATCTCCTCAAGTGAAATTACTCACCTTGACAGCTGGGAAGTTGAAACCTGAGCCCAACACATACGCTCCATGGCGATCACCGCGGTCTTTCAACTCCTGCCACCCACCGGTTGGCTTGTCTGAAACCTTGTGAAAAGCGTTGAGATTCTCAAGACTCTTAAGGAAGAAAAGGATTGAGAAGCAAAAGCTGCGATGCAAGCTCTTGCCATTGGATTCTCTTCACATGTCTTCACTACCATACCACCCACGGTACAATTTGATGCCTTGCCCTGAGCAACTCCTGACCACGTTGGATCAGCTCTTCTCCCTTCACGATCAGCTCTTGTAGCTTCGGATCGCTGGTGGCCTGGAGGCAAAGACAGAGCCTGCCTGGACTGCGAAATGCAAACCTTCCACAGAAGAGGAATAACTACTTTTGGAAAGCTCTCCCTGTTTAGTTCTTGGACTGCGAAATATGCAGGCAACTGTTTGATTTCTGTACTGGATCTCTGTCCTGCAAGAAAATAAACCGCTAGCGCCGCTACCGCCGATGTCAAAAAACCTGCAAGTTCGGCCTCTGCAGCCATGGCTGACACCTGGGACATCGCAGCAGTTTTCTCGGCGAGACCACGTTCTTCGATTCTTTAAAAGATGCGATGGGGCCTCGGCCCCCTCGGCCTGGGCTAGGTAGGACTTGCAGACTCCTGATATCCTAAAAAACCGCACCGGCACCAACCCTCTGCCAGACTCGACTGCAAAACTGGAAATGCAACTTACCATTCTTCAGGGCTCCAAGCTGATCCTGCCACCTGCGACGCGGCCGTCTCTTTGTCCTGAGCTAAATGGCTCAAAACGAAGCAACTGTCTTTTACATCCTAATCCTATTGTTCTGAATGGCTGCAATGCTGTTGTGCTACCCAAGAATCTCCAAAAGGCCAGAAAGGCAATTCCGTTCTTGATAACTTTGAACATCCAAAAGTTTCAAGGCTAGTCCACCTGGACGGGCTCAAACACCCTGAGCCTCCGACACGTCGTCTTCTCCTAACGTGGGGATAAGAAGAACCAAAGAAAGTTCTGGAAAGTTCGACTCAAAGACGGTCCAGGAGTTTGCAGGATTCTCTACCTACCAAACACTGTTCATCTGTCTCTTGTAGATTGCCCCTTGCCCAGCTGCACCGAAGTCCACAAATCCACCCCCAACACGCCATCACCACGCAAGCTTTGGGTCAAAGAATGAAGAGGCACGACCTCTGTCCGCAACTCCTTCAAGCTAATTTAGACAGGAACTAGGGGGAGGCCATCGCTAGTAGGTAGGAGGCCATCGTTAGTATGTACATCATGCAAACACTCATCACCCTGCACCTGCTTCGAGAGTGCTTTCTCTCAGGTGGCCCTGAGGGAGGCGCAGGTGGATGTCCTAGAGAAACAACTCCACACGAATTGGGCCGTACTTCGTCTCAAAAAGCCCTGCAGTAAGACAACTGTCGGAGCCCACAACATGTCACAACTGCTTCAAATGTTTGGCATCACGGAGCCCTCCGACCTACTTAGCGATGGGGTCCAACCTAATAGCGATGGCCACCATTGTGAGTCCTTCCAACAGAGCCAGAAGAATCTGCGACCGTCCAGTCCTGGTGGATAGCCTGGGGGGCGCCATGGCCATGGCATCCCAGGTGCCCCAGGCGGCGGGCGCTGCCTCAGGTGGGTGGGTGGGTGGTAAGAAGATAGAAAGGAAAAGACTTACAAAAGGACACTGTTAGCCTATAGCATGAAGATCATTTCTTGCTTCTAGCAGCAAGAAACACTGCTATGCTGAAAGGAAGCCGGGTGACCACCTTCTACAAATGCGCCTGGAAACACCCAGCGAAAAAGGTCTAAGGTTTCAACTTCGAAGCACGACCCAGAGTGGGAGTGATCCTCACCTTGTCACCCTTTTCAGTTCACAACCCGCTGAAACAGAGCTCCCAGCGGCGCATAGGGATCTCTGTAATAAGGCCAAGGTGGTGGCCTTTGAGGTGCTAGGTTTGAAGGTGATTCACGGTGACACGTCTTTGGCTCCTTCATGTCAGTTCATGTTCTCCATTAGCTTCATTTGTTTTCCGAAATTGCAAAGGCGAAAAACGGCAGATTGTTTCCTTGCGTTTTGGTTCACGGTGGTAAGAGGTGAGTTTAAGGGCTTAAACAATTCTGCAAAAAAAACCGGCATCTAGTAAGTTTCCCAAAATATAATCTAGGAACCAAATCAATCATGCAAGGACTTAGGCTTACCCGCCTAAGGTCAAATTAGAATCTGGATTTGTTTGGCAAAACGTTGGGCTCCATGCGCACCACCGGCTGGAGCCATTGACCAGCCCGCGGGCGGCGCCGACCAGGCAGGCCGTGGCTGGCGTGGACGCGGGCAGGCCGTGGAGCAGAAAAGCATTGCATCCAAGAAGTGGTAAGGGATGATAGCTGTGATAGCCAAAGGAGCAGCTTTGTGAAGTACTCCAAGTAATGCACTTGCTCACAAAAGCCAAAAGGCTGATATATTCAAGAGTCCATAAAGGCATCCTAAGACCAATGTGTGCGAGTGTGTGTGTGTGTGTTAACACCTGTCCTACTCCTAGCTGCCCGGGCGGCTTAAGACAAAGTCCCGCTCGCTAACTACTTTCATTTAACTAAGTGGGCCTCGTCACTATACCGATCTTTCTTTCTTGCCCTCTTCCTGTGCTTTTGTTTTGTTTTCTTTGTCTGTCTTTCTAAGGCTTTTTAGGTTGCTAGTGATCCTCCGGAGCGCCAATATCGGCGCTATGTGTACAAAGCTGTTGCACAAAAAATCTTTCACGCAAGGGGTACAGAGCGCCGATTGCGGCACAGTGTGTCCTGTTTCCAAGGTTTGTGCCTGGTAAGTCTGCCGTAGATTTCACTAGAAGGCTGGATGCTACTTGTAGCTTCTGGCCTTGCTACTAGGAACCATTCTAAAATTAAAACAGCGCGAGCAAAAAAGAGGCAGGGGGCGACAGGGTCACTGCATAGCTGTCGCCAACGAAGCTCTATGCAGCTGACCAGGATGCAGGGATTGATCACCCCTGTGTACCTGCTTCAATTTTTAACTAGCCTAGTGACCGCCGGCCGTACACTTCAAACAACATTGTTCAAACACCTTCCAATTCGCTGACTCATCGCCTTTCTGTTTGCACTCCTTTTGAGTCAAGGTCTAATGCATGTAAAGTGGGACTTCATTCTGATCCTAGCTCTTGCGAGCAACCATCTAAGTGTGTGTGTGTGTGTGTGTCACTTGTTCAGCCTACTGCGTTGCTCGCGGCAAGTGACTGTACTCCTAAACATGACCAAAAATACCCTTCTGGAAGGGCCTCTGCTGGTGGGCGAAAGCTACTGCTGCTTCCACCCTCCTCCCGCGGATCGTGCATGACAATAGATCATCCAAAGGACTTGTGTAGCGCTTCTGAGGCTGCTCCGAACAGTTGGGACCAATACACAATCGCGTTACAAGCAACATCAAGCAACGCTGGCAACTACCGCTAATGGGCATCACAAATCGGCGGAGGACATTGCCGGACAGTCCTCCCCCATTCTTTCCCCTCGAACGCGGTCATGGAAGGCCTTCGAACGGGCTTTGCAGTTGAAAGACTCGAGTTGCCAAGGTCAATAGTACATGTCTAGTGTTGTTGCAATGGTGACAAGCATACCACAGTGCTAGAACAGCATCACTCACAGACTCATCAATTGTTATCAAACAGCTAATTGCGGGTGGAACTCCATTTGGCTGCCGGGCCTGCACAGCTGCTGACAGAGCCCTATGTAGGGCCTTGGCGTCCAAACCACACGTAACTGGCTAGTCCCGCCGAGCGGGACTAGAACATCAGAACATCACTTGGCCCCTGTTCATAGCGATGGCCTCCAACCTACTAGCGATGGCATCGCATTGGCCCCTCGTTCCTATTGGAAAAATACGCCATGTCAGAAGTTCCTTCCATCCCAAACACAGCTGTGCGCCATTTCTGCTGTCACCGTTTCGATCGCCACCATTTCGGTCCAAGCCTGCAACTGCTTCGCCGTGCAGGTCGCCACGAAATGGACCTGGTGAGATGAGGTAGGGGGATTGAGGGTCTGAGCTTGGAGGTCTGAGCTCCGCCTTGCACAGTAGCTAAGGCCTTCCTGTCTGCATTTGAGCAGCCCCGGAAATTAGCTATTTCTACATATTCTATGGGACGCTGATGTTTTTGTTGCCTTCCGTTTTATGGAAAGTAACTTAAGTACACCCTAAGAAATTTTGTGTCTACGCCAAGCAGGTCAGCCTGCTTTCCTTGCAGGGCCGGTGCAGTAGGATCTTTGGGTGGCCATAGCCGACTCCTGAGCAGCTGCGCTCTAGTCTTGATGTTGACTGAGTTTACGTCCATGGAAATGATACTGCATGTGGCGGGGAGTCCCCGTCTGGAACACAGTTCGTCCGCAAAAAATCAGCGGGCTCAAAGTATGTCAGTTTTTGGACGGGTCATGATGAGTTTGCGCTTCCTGAAAGCTCACGTGGCATGTGCTTTCATGAATGTGTGTTCAACAAGCTTGACGAAGACAGGAGCTGAAGTCAAGCCGCTGCATCCAAACCTCTCGCACTTCGCAGCTCTCCAGCAAGTGGGCGAAGACTCCTTAAGAAAACAGCAAGCGGATCCTCGGTGTAATATCTATTCTCTGATACACTGCCCTTGATATCTCAGCTGCTTAAACTGTGCATAAGCTGACCGCTGACCCTAGACCTTTCGGACCCTTTCGGCTTAGGACTCGGAGATAGCTGTGCCGGAAAGCTTGTATGTAATTTTGCCGCCAAAGCGCGCCCGTCGTTGCTGGCCAATGCGCTGTGCAGGTTTGGTCCATAGGCACCACGCAAGGCCCGTTCGGACTCTGACCACCAAGCAATCACATCGCCTTCCTCCGCATCTTGCTCGGACCTCAGAATCATATGCTCTTTAGCACACGAGGTGAGCGAGCCTTGTGGAATCAGACGTCTGAATATTGGGGTCGAAGCCTGTTTATATCACTTTATGCAGTCTCTACCCACCAGAGGCCCTGACGCTTGGGCTTGGATGCAGCTCTCTGCATTTCTATGGGAGCTGAAGCGCACGTAGCCTTTTGCGTTCAACTTGCGGTCCTTGGTGAAAGCAAACAATCAAATAGACACCTGGCAGCCAGCACGTGCAAACCTGGAACCAGGCCAAACATTAGCATCTTCAGAACCGGCTACCACCAGGCCCCTTCGGTGTTTTGCTTCTTCCTCCCAGCTGCCCAAGGCACCACGTCACGAAGAAGGAAGACATCCTCAATCTTCCCAAAGCCTTCGAGCCAGTTCTTCAGCTGGTCTTCAGTGAAGTCCTGAGAAACCAGCGACCATCATTGTCAGAGTGCAAATACCTGTATCATCCCTGCAATGCCACCAACATGTTCCATGTATACAAATAGGCCCAGCTCAATGCTCAAGTGTTGATAAGTTTAGGCTGCGTTGTCCAGGCTTTACATCGTTTTAATGCATGTCTGGACATGTATGGACACCCTGGTGCTGTCAGTGCTTCCCCAACTGTGTTTTGCCTACGAGCCACCTGTCATCTGAAAGCTGAAAAGTCTTGATGGGGCAGGTCACAACAACACCATGAACCACAGCAGCTGCCTTGATGGGCAGGCCTGTCATGAAGACTTCTCGGTCCTGTGCGGAGCTCATGAAGCTTGGGGCTGAGGAAAGCATTCTAATTCTGAAACAACTCTTACAGTGACTATTGAGGGTATATAAATGGGCCCGATTCCTAAGGCAAACCTAGCATATATTCTGGTAGGCAGAATGTTCCACTCAGCATCCTTGCAGGAGATAAATCGTCGCTCTAAGCGTCTTCGCGACAGTTTGTCTTGATCATGTTTGATGCTTGTTAGCTTGGCTTCGAAGCTTTTCCCTGAGTGTAGTGGTTCATAAAATTGTCACGCGAATCTGCATTCGGCCCCTTCCGCCACCTGGGTTAGGTTTTTTCCAACAAAACGGCCACCGTAGTAGCATGGGCAAGCTTTCTTCCATTCTACTTAATTATATAACTTCCCCAAACTAAAACCAATATTGAATAAACTGCAGCATGGCCTCTAGCGCATGCTAGCCTTGTCTAGACAATACACTTGGATGATCAAACAGAGTCGCCCCAAAATCAAACAACCCTCAAAGGACCACCACCCATGCGTCAAAGCCATCCCTCTCTCTCGCACAAAAATAAGCAGAGGTTCCTCCTCATGCGTTTGTCAAGAAGCAACAAATGCAGGATTGAAAAAACACATTCAGGTTCTTTCTGTGTTTGGCCCATGCGATTTAGCTACTGCACAAGAGTCGGGACAGCATTGACTGTCCATCCAAAAATCATACACTACTGGCCAATGAAAGCAACAGCCAGCCAAGAATTCAAGGGGACAATAACACAAAAGGCTGATGCTCAATGCTCTTCAGCGAAAATTAAGAGAGAATGGGATGTCAAAAGCCTTTGACACGAGTCTGCGGTTTTCCAGTGCCGCCTCATTGTCAGGCTTTATCTCTGGCTTCCTGGACAACTTCAACTCATCCAAAAATATCGTTCGGCGCAAAGGCCTGGCCGGAGGTCTCCATTTCACATCAAAATCGTGCTGTTCGCACACGTGCCTTTGCACATGTTTGCACCACTTCCAATCGTGTCTGCATGGCATGTTTTTGAGCATCAGATTTAGATTTCACTTTATTTGCATCGCCCCACACTGTCTGGCTCTGGTTGCCTAGCATAACACACCACTGCTACCGTTTCTCGTCTACGATGATCACCAGCAAGCAACTCCGCCAGTTGTATTTTGAAAGGCAATGATGAAAAATAATAATCTGAACTGTTCCCACAAATCAACTGTCAGAAAAACGATGTTGGAGATTCATTTTGGATAGTTAGATAGTGGTTTGACTCTGTTCTGACGCAGGCACCTGCTTTTGCCCACGTCATCACCGAAGAGCTCACAAGTTACCACACACTCCTGGGCAACAAATCCAACCCCCCGGAAATCGAGCTGCCCCTGTCCTTCAAGCAACTTACAGTTACCATTGAAGAAGAAAGTTCAAGAGATATCAAGAGATTCCATGGATGTGACAAAAATACACACGGAAGGAAACCATGTTTGCCTCGATGAGCTCTCCATCACCAACTTTGGTGTTGTGCAGTTGCTCTACAGCCTCTCATTGATGCGCGCAAAACAGTTTCAAACCCGTTTGGGATAATTATCTGTCATATCGTTGCCCCAGGAGGGTTCTATATCTTCAATCAAAATCTGCGGATACAGCAAGCGTTCTTGGAGTTAAACAATCATTTTGCGGCTGTGTGCACCAAATGCTGCACAGATAAGGCGTCAAGAAGGCTGCTGTTTCAGCCCTGCCTTGGCCATGTTCTCTCGATTCTTCAACTCCACGCACGCCATCTGCTGCCCCGTTTTGGGGTCCACCACAAAGCGCACGGAACCGACACCACCGAAAAGAGCGAACACGAGGCGTACCTGACGAGGCGTCCAGGGTCTTTGAGGACATGCAGCTGAGTTTGTGGCAGTTGTCTCTGATGGACGCGATGAACATGTTCACAACAATCCGAGCTGCAAAAACAAACTTTCGTCATACAGTAGTGGTTCAGTGCACATCGACAATGGAGTATGCACTGTGAACATTGTTGAACATGTTTGAACATTACAAAACATTGGTAGCCGCGTTTGAGCGGTTCTGGCAGCATAGTGATGTAAGCATTCAGAGAGACGAGGAGTCTCAAAGTGAACCAGCATTGGTTTGTGCTCTTTGCTTGGCAGGCAGAAGAGACCAAGGAGTTGCGACACCTTTCATTGAGACAGAAGAGTCAAAACAAACTAGCGCCTACCAGTGCCAGCCTTATGAAAAGTGTGTTATAGTAGCAAATACGGTATACGGATATGCGAATGCATGCACGGTGCAAGAAATAACGTGCCTGCTGTTCCCGCCAACTCTTAGGGAAGCCTTTCACCATGATGCAGGGTGATGTAGGACTGACATTGGAAGCCTCAGTAGGGCCACTTACACGGATCCAGCTATTCCGCACTGAAGGCTTCTTTTTTGCGGGCTCTGATTGATGCAGATTCTGACAAAGAAATGGGAGACCAAGAAGTACCAGGTGGCTGGCACTCACCCAGTTGGGCGGTGAGATTTTGAAGTCCAGCCGGACATCAGCCAAGCCACTGTGGAGCTTCCACTGAAGGATGTTGGATTTGTCAAGGCTTCCTTGCGAGTTCTGGACAACACTAGCGGAACCTGGTACATTATGGTTGGATGCATGACAAACAAGAACGCCAAACACGATGTCACTCAGGGTAAGAACAAAACAAAAAACATGGTGTCACCCAGTGTAAGACAAAAACGATTTCAAGACCAGCGGTCACGAGTGCCTCGACCAGAGAGTCTAATCGGCTCTTGAGCTTCTCAAGGTTGCCCTGTCAAGACGGTCTCTTCCTACCGGAGTTGACCTGTCCTATCTGTCGAGTCCGCCTATGCAGTGTTGTATTTATGGATTGTGAGGTCGAGTTCCCTATGGCCATCTATGGCCCAGTGCGTATAAAGTATAAAGCTATGTAAGGCTTCATCTTCATGGTGTGTAAACTCGCCTTGCTAAACCCCTGAACCAACTCTTGGTCCTTTCAACACTTTGGACCTAGACTTCAGTGAAGACTTGCATCCAGATCTTGAGGTCCAGTGACCCCAGCCCGCTCAATTCCAGTCTCAAGACCCGCCTCTGCGAAAAGTGCAAAGGTCAAAGGCCCTTCCTGTTGAACCAAGGAGCCCCAAGAAGTACCCTGAGGAGGGGCGCGACCGCCTCCTACAAGGACTAGCCTGACACACTGGGCGTCTTGCAAATCAATCTTCTGCTCTGAGACATTCTTCGCTTTCATCAGACCATGATTCCGAGGCCAGTTGTGCTCCATTATATTGATTGTTAATGTTATAAAATAATCAAAGGACTGCTCAAAACAAGATCGCCTGGAATAGCCACACTCTGTGGCGACGGCTCCCTGGGCATCGAGATCAAGTTGCACAGAACCGACAGCCTACCGAGATCCTTCCAGGGCGAAGTTTCCAGGATTGACCGAGAAATCTGTAAGCATCTCATTGGCCACTTGCTAATATGAAAAGTTAACGACTACAACCCACAGCTGGCACATGACTGAGGTCCCCGACAGCTCTTGCCTGCAATGCATCCCCCACCCTTGAGCTTTGTAACCTCTCAGCGGCTGCGATCTACTAATTCCGTGACACACTCACACACACACACACCAACACCTCACAATCTTGAAGTGCTCAAGTGTGAGCCACACCAGCACGATTATATAGCAAATGAAGAAGGTTTCTTACATGACACTACCACTTGAACTCAAGCAAACAGATCCTCGGGCACTGCGAATCTCGCCTTTCAGAAAGTGACCAGTTGCCTTGTACTCCACCTTTTGGCAACGGGACGAGAGCAAGCTCACAGAATTTAAACGTCATATAATGTCATATAGAGTAGCGGCCCAGCGGCAAAGCGAGAACAGATGCAAGTGCTGGTGGGATGTGAATACTTGCAGTGGACATCAGGGTGACCTCTGAGGGATACCCTAGTGGAGAGACTGCTGTTGGGCAACAGGACTCCTTAAAGACTTGCAGCTTGACTTGAACCGAGGTCAGAACTGGCCAGAGAACATGGATTCGGATCCAGCCTTCCTCATCATCTTCTGCGAAGGCAGCTAAGAGACCCACAGCCTCCTCGTGCAGGCCAAACCGCACGTAGCCCTGCCACGCACAGGTTCATAGCTGCATCTAAAGACTGAGATGCATGGTTATGCGCTGAGCTATGTTCTGTCAAATTTGTATCCAAGCAAAAGGATTTCCTGCACAAATGAACAGGCTTTGTGTGAGTACCACGGTCACCACGGCACCAAGCAAGATAACTCTAGGACTCTGGGGTGTCAAGTCTGCGTTGAGCCTGTTTGAACTGGTATCAGGCAATGTAGTGTAATTCAAAACCTGTTCAGCTCGTTGAGCAAAACGGCCACATCTACGCTGAGCCTTGCCATTGAGCTCCTTGCTCACTGGATCCTTCAAGAAGTTGACTGCTTCAGGATGACCAAAACCTGTGAAAACAAATTCGGCTTTTGTCAAATTCTTTGGGGTCTATGAACGGCAAATGCAAGAGTGATGGCTTCCTCATTCGGCATGTTGTTTCAACTTTCATCCTACCAAAGGGTGCATGGTGTAGCAGGGTGTAGAGCACGAAGCCTACATTTGACACTGGCCATCTCACCTCTTCTACCCAATGTTTGTTAATGTTTGTTATGTTTGTGGGCCTTTGGCCTGGATTGCTTTGCTTTGCCCTCTAAGAGAGCCTTTTCAAGGCCTTACTTAGCCTCCTTTGCTTCTTTTGCATCTACGCTGTGGTGGCCACGAGAGCAGCGAATACCCGGTGTCGCGGCCGCGACCACGCCTTGCAGCCACTCCCGGAGTTGTGCCTCCGTGTAGTCCTGTCGATGTCTGGTTTTCAGTCCGGAGATGTCTGGTATCTTCATCAAAAGGGCTGTTGTTGTTGTTGTTGCTGCTGTTGTTGTTGTTGTTGTTGCTGTTGTTTTGTTATTGTTCTTGTTCTTGTTCTTGCTGTTGTTGCTGTTGTTCTTGTTATTGTTCTTGTTCTTGTTCTTGTTGTTGTTGTTGTTGCTGGTGTTGTTGTTGTTGTTGTTGGTGGTGGTGGTGTTGTTGTTGTTGTTCTTGTTATTGTTCTTGTTCTTGTTCTTGCTGTTGTTGCTGTTGTTCTTGTTATTGTTCTTGTTATTGTTCTTGTTGTTGTTGTTGTTGTTGTTGTTGCTGGTGTTGTTGTTGTTGTTGGTGGTGGTGGTGGTGTTGTTGTTGTTGTTGTTATTGTTATTGTTCTTGTTCTTGTTGTTGTTGTTGCTGTTGTTGCTGTTGTTCTTGTTCTTGTTCTTGTTGTTGTTCTTCTTCTTCTTCTTTTTCTTGTTTTTCCGAGTCACTGTCTGAACTCAGGGATCGCAACTTTAACGTGGCCGAAACTGCCAAGCACAGAACATGGTCCAAAACGTCCAAGTGCTTCTTGGAAAAGGCTCAAAATCTCACAGTGTATGTTCAACAGAACTAAAACAATGGGACAACAGTCGCATCGTTTCTTCGACCTCTCAGGCAGGCAAATGATTGCTGAGACGCTCCTCTCTAGGCTGTCTGCCTTCGGCAGTTCTTGTCTTCAATAGACAATCAATTGAGTCAATTTGATTGTAGGATATCGTAGGTCGTAGACCCTTGGCCCCAACACCAAGTAGAAGCTGTGCACGGGATGGCCTCTGCGCCTCTCTGCGCCTCTCTACACCTCTGTGCCTGCCTTGCAGGTCTAAAAATGTCTTTCCTGCCGTCCACTTGCAAATTGCAAAGTCTTTTGGAGTGGGGGCGTCCTGATTATCTCAGTGCCCACCAGGGTCAGTCTGACAAAGGCTTCCATGTCGGAAACATCCAGGCCACAACAGCAATCTGCTCACAGGTTGTTGGTCGATGTTGGTCGGCTAGCCTCGTGTCAAAGTGACGGTCTTTGACATGCCATGGTTATGGCAGTTCCCCAAATTGGAGGAAATTCAACAAAACATAACAGAACCATACAGAACAAAAGGAAAAGAGTCGGAATCCACAGCCCGAAAACATCCATCGCAAGAATGTAGCTCGACAGTGTCTTGCAGCTACATTCTCTAAACTTCGGAGAAGTCTCCGGAGACTTCTGTGGAGGTCTCGAACCTTTTCAACTCAGAGATCTAGCCGATCCGGCGCCAACGTCATCTGTCCACCACCATCTTCTCCAGGTAGGTGATCTCCACGACCACGGGGAGGTGGTCCGACGGGAAATCGTCGGAGGGTAGAGCCGTGTGTCGCCGCAAGCACTCCAGGGGCGGTGCCTCAAAGGTGCGAGTGGCTTTGAGGCAACGGGCATCGAGCAGCGTGTAGTCCAAGCACTCCTGGCGGGTGAACATGTTTTAACTGAAAACCAGTTGTATGGAGATATTGTAATACGATTGAAAAAGGGAGATCATATAGGATCATGCCTTCATCTGGCTTGCAAAGATCCACCAGTCCCGTGGAAAGAGACACAAACGGCCCAGGAATCCAAAAGCAGTGTCGGCCAGATGAAGGTTTGCCTAACCATCATCGCCACCTTCGTGACCCTTCACGCGAATTTACAGCTGGAAATCCGCACATTCAACGGGACATTATTGGTACCAAAACAGAGCTCCTGAAAATCTGCGGTGAAGTTTGTGACTTCCAGATGGTCATTCCTTGGACATGCCACCGTTTGGCAACTGGACTGCTCCTCTCCACACAGCAAAGACTTTCAATGGGGTCAGAATAAGAAATTTGCGAGAACAAAATGATGCCCGAATTGGAGTAACATTGTTTGGAAGCGCAGCATCAAGAGCTTGAGGGAGTAGAAATTGCTGATACACCAGCTGTCATGAGCATAGGACATTACTATGATAAATGAGTCGAATGAAGTGTGGAGAGTCCTTTTTTTTACTTTTTCCCAGGGATGATGAGGACAAGCCTACACGGAATGCTTTTTCAAGTTCCAAAATGACAAAGGCCTTGCCAATCTGCTCAGGCTCGGATCAATCAGAGGCCACGGAAGCTTTAGATCCATCCTCAAGGCCTGAACAGTTTGGCATGTCGCCCGGAGGCAAGAAAGATCGCCGCAGGAGCTATGCAGAACCTACTAGGTTGCATGCAATGCACCACCGTGCAAATGTAGTGATAGGGGAAACTGATCCTGTTGTCGACAACATACGTTTGTACCTTATGAGCTCTTTGTCGCAGAACATTGCGATCCTAGGCAAGTAAATATTCACTGTCCCAGCCTCAACCCCCAGATTCTCTGCAGGGCAAGTCAAAGAGCCTCGGGTATCACACGTGCGTCTGTCATCTGCGTCTCCACACGTCTTTCATGCCAAAAAAGCTTCAGGTCTTGCAGCTCCAAGCTGCGACTGTAGCCTCCATTGACATCCGGAGTGGAATGAGTTGTGTCAGCTTCATCTTCTTGACTCCAAAGAGAATGCCTCCAGTCCTCCATGTTCGAAGAAATGAGCGGCTTTTTGCTAATCTCTTGCCATGGAAAATTCTAGGAATGCCGAGACCCAGTTGCACTAAGTTGCACTAGCATTGGTAAGGCATTGCAAGGCGTTGGCATCTCCCACAGGACAAAGCTTGGCAACGGCACTTGGGCTTAGGCTTAGGGATATCAAAGATAAACAAAAAGGCAATGTTTTCTTTGAGCCTTCGATCAAAAAGCGCCCAAGTGGTATACGATTGCATGCTGAGTCTCTGTATCATCTGAATTGATGAAGCCATCACGGATCATGCGGTAGGCTGCTTGCGGGGGTTGTCCCTAGCCAAATGCGCAATTGCTTTCTCTGGATTCTACTTGCGAAAATAACGACTGCCACCAAGCCTAATGTGTATGTGTGTGTGTTTCGTGCAACAAGAAGGAAGCTGCCTGGTCTCGCGGTCCGAAATTGCCTTTGCGGGCATTGAGATCGCCCAGCACAACCAGCGACACTGCCTCGCCTAGACATCAAATCGAACGGAAAATGAATCTTGATCAAAAAATAGTTCCTTTGTTTTCCTTTTTTGTTACCTCAAATATATCCTCATACCAAACAACCGATTGTATACATTGTTCCACTATGCAATCGTAAGCAAAAGCACATGTTGCCATCCAGAAAACAAAGACACGTGTTCGTGTTGGTCAGTCCGCTGATACATCCACTTCCCCGCCTTGTTCCGACTCATGTTTTGTCACAGTTTCAGCTAAAACCTTCAAGAGGCTATACAGTTGCAGCAAACGAATGTGATTGCCCTTGGGATGATAGTACCTTGGATCAACCACACATGAATAGAACTCAACTCACTGTGTGTAGAATCTTGTTTCGCCATTACCTGCGGTTGTTCAAGTTGCAAGTGGGTGTTGGCCACCAATAACAACCGGCCATTCTGCAAATCCCGCAGAAGCACTGCTTGCGCTACGCTGGTCATCTTGTTGAGCAGGCGCTGTGTGGGGTGCTCTGCCATCATTTGCAGCTCAGATTCCTAGGCCAATATAGGAATGTTCTTCAAGGAAACATAGGTACTGTACAAAAGAATGCAAAGAGCACCTCATGTGCACATAAGACACGGTGGCGCCGATGTGGAATGGGAGCCACCAGAGTTTGAAGTTTTGCTCAGAGGCGGTTGATCTGGCATTCTCGAACCAAGTATCTTTCAGGCCAGGAAGCTTGCCACTCAAAGACCACTGCAGCTGATCCTTCCAAGTTGCATCTAAGATTTAAAGCAAGTCACAAACATACAACGATTGTTCGTACACTGTCTTGATAGGAAGCAATGGTACAAAAATGTCCAAATGAGATCCCTCCACCTCAAGCCTGGCGGATGCGTTTACAAGATTAATGAAAACCGTTAACCTATGAGCCTATGAAGATCTGAGAATGTTTTCTTCCAAAAGCCACCTGGCCTCGCACCTGAAGCGGGAGCTGCGCCAAAACAAGGCGCAGCCGTCAAGGCTGGCGCCACCCTTCCTGGGTCGGGCTCTCGTTCATGCGACCCAATGCAGCCGCATCAAAATAGGCATGTGGATGCATGTGGTAGTTCCGATGAAATCTCAAGTCTACAGTAAAGTTTGATAAAGTTTGGTCATTGAAGTGAGCACTTCATTCAGAAAGCTTCTCACAATGCGATCTGCCGCTGCCTATCAGCGGCAAGGCTCTTAAGATAAGAACGCTCCCAGCCAAGCTCTTCCATCGGTTTCAATACAGCCAGTTGACCTGTATCTACTTCTTGCCTAGGTGTCAAGCTTGAAGGACAAAGCATGGCCCTGTCCATTCCAAAACATAAGCTTTTGGCTGAACCACCAACTGCCAGGTAGCAAGCCGAAAATATCTGCATCTATCTTCAAGAGGTCGCGATAGATCCTTTGTCTTCGAGGTCCCGGAGCCAAAACAGCCGCCGTGCAATAGTGGAACACCTCCTGAAAACATGAACGGTCCAATGTATAGATCCCACACTTCCAACATACTCAAGGTATCTCAAACATGGAGAAATGAACAGTACGACCCATGGACGTCCTTCTTTGCCTGCTTGGTGGATGCAAAGGCATCCGCCAGGACATTGTAGGTCGCAATGCGGATATCTCCAGATGGAGGCGCAGAAAATGAGCGCCAGCGCCAGTCGTCAAATGGCGGTGCTGAAACAGCGTTGCTGACATTACCTTACTTCGATTCTGTCTGAAATCATACAGTGGCTGCCTCAAGCATCTATGATCACGCTGCGGATTGAAACATGTTCCACCAAGGCAGTTGCGTGATCAGAACCAATATATCTTTGCAGTCCACAGCCACCGCATGCTAGGCCGTTGCTCGAACAGATACAAGCAACTCTAGGCTCACTAAGTGACATGCAATTCAGCCAAGGTACTGAACACGGTGCCTGCAAGTGACGGTGGAGTGCAACCCACTCTCAAAAAGCAGCCTTCGTCAGCTGCACTCGGAGTATACAAAGCTCCATGACCAACTGTCTTGCAGGGTATTTCATCCAACGACATAACTTAAAAGACAAGCATTAAAACAAAAAAACATAGGGCAATTCATCTCAAGAGTAGATAAAGAGCACCCCCCTAATCCGGCAGACCAAAGGTGATGTGCATCAACATACTATACAACTATATATTATATATACACTGTATATACACATGCAATCACATGCATAGATATAGCACCCTGGTAGATTGCATTCATTCCCGTCCTTCCAGCCTTCCAGCGCCGCGTGCGTCCACTCCCAGCTTCATCACGTTGCCATAACCAAATACAGTCCCCTCTTGAGCAACGCGAGAGATATGTTATTGCACTTAGAGGCACTGAGACCATTGGCGAGGTGGAAGAAACTCTGCAAGTGACACAGACTGCAGGGTTCCAAAAGACAGGTACCTCGGCTCTCCAATTTCAAACCCACGCATTGCTGTCTTCAGTTCCAAACTACAATGAAAATAGACATCTGCTACCAAGAATGCATCGAGCGTTCCATCGTCCATGGTGACTTGCACCAGCGCCGCATCTTTCCATGCCTGCGTTCCCTGAGTCACAAGGCTTTATACACCCTTGGGCATCGCAACCTGTGGGAGTCTTCTTCAACTCGGCTCTTCAAAGGAGACTAGCAACAAATAACAAATGGGCAGCCACAAGGGTACTATAGCAATCACACAGATTTTATCTGAGTTGATGAAGCCCGCAACTACAGGCATCGTATGCAGCGCAACTTGCAAATGTGGATAAGAATCATCATGGTCACCATCATGGTCATCGGCATAACATGCATGATGTTTGGTAGGAACGACCACGATGCTCAAGACGTTTCCTACAAGTAGTGAATGATTCATGTGCTCAACATGTGGCACAAACATAGCGAGCCTGAATGTCTTCAGAAATTCTCGAACCAGCTCGAAGAACCTGCAATGAAGAGGCCTTCATTTTCTGACCTCAAACAACAAGCGAGCACTATGTTGTGATTTGTGCAAATATGACATTGCAATTAGATGTTGGATCATGGGACTCTTTTCCCTCAGGCAAACCGCCTAAAAATCATCAACAAGCTTGAGTCCGACATCTACAACGCAGAAGAGTTGTTCTGAACCACTGCTGGTCTGCTGGTCATCCCTTAAGGATCCAAAATAACATGGCTGCCTGACTTCAAGGCCAATCCTCACTTGTTTTTAAAGAAGAATCATCCCTTGTGCGATGAAAACTCGTGCAAATCTGGCCCAGCACAGCTTCCTGTGGCCAAGCTGCATAGTTTTTTCCTCAGTGTGTGTATAGCTTTACCCGTGCGGAAATCGGCAGTACAAGCATGAGTCTACCTGAGAGTTGCATCAATACTTGCTGCTGTCAGTGATTCGCTTGATGCAAGATCACTAGCCAAGCATCGCTTGGACATCCAACTTCTCCTCTTTGGGTCGAAGAAGTCTGACTTCCGAATGACCAATCCGCAGGACAAGTTCCATGGAACTGCTCTCCGATTCCCCTTTTTGAACCTAAGCCGGCATGCCCTCCACAGTACAAGCTTGTAGGGAAGATCTAACAAAGGACAACAAATTATATAGGTGGTTCTCCTTGCAAAGATTTGCCCATATCCGTTGGGAAAGTGGCATGGACTACTTTGAGACAGGTTGCTACTTGGTTTTTGCTCAGAGGTCCATCAAAAGTGCAGGATCAATAAATGGATCTACTTCCAAATGGTCTCAAACGAAAACGGCCCAACTGTCCAACGAAGTAAAACAATGAAATCAAACACTATTGTTCTGCGAAGACACTTCTGCCAGGGGAACCTCGAAGATCAACATGGCAGGTGCGTCAGCCATTGGAGTTCCAAACACGAGTCCAAATTCAAGCACCTCTAAAGTAGAGCCAAATGCTCATCTGACGATCCGCAACAACATGAAACAAATGAATGCACAAAAAGTGGCAGCTGTACATTGAACCGTAAAAGGTTCCTCCAAAGCAAGAGTATGGTTCCGCAATGTTTCTGAGTATGCCCTCCAGATTCTCCGCTTTGCTCAGTGTTCCAGATAATAATTTCCCGAAGATGCAACGGGCTTGCAATGCGACTACCAACTCTTAAGACCTATGGTCATGCATGTTTTTCCAGTGTCGTCAAACACCTGGCCTAGATGTTCAGTCAGTCAATCCCAAAACCACCCCAGGAAGTCCTTGTAATGTCTAGTGGAAATTAAAAGCTTATCCAAAACTGATGTTGCTCAAACTCACAAAAGGCGTCCCCCACACAACCCTTTTTAGAACTTCCGAATTAATCTGGTCCAGCCTACTACAAATTAGTTTGTGGGCGGTTTCACATCAGGTTGCACGACCTTCTGACCTTCTACAGGGATGTTCGTAGTCCACGGTCGACATTTGTCAGATCTACGTTGACCTTTCAAAAGATTCGGTCGACCCCAAACTCTTTGTCAAAACAAGACGATTCGGTCGCTCACGTCTACTGCTTCCCTTGCACTGTCCCCGCCCGCCTCCACCGGCAAGTCTCGCAAGAAAACTTCTCTGGCAGATGCCACCTTCAGATTGTTGTATATTGAGGGATCAAGAGGAATCTGAATCAAAAGGTATTGCTCGTAATCTTTTGATGCCCTCTCAAGCGCAATTCGATGCAGGCAGCCTCCTCTTCCAGAAGGCGGATCTCATCAACATACAACAGCACAGGAGTACCATTGTCCTGTCTCAAGATTTGCTTGCAGGGTGCTGTGGCGAGATAGCATCGATGGAAACGGTGAAAAATTGAGTGCAACATAGTTTTGTGGACCGTGCAACAGGTTGTTTGCAGCCTACTCTTTGCTCACTACACCCATATACTTGATAGGAACTGTTTCCCTCGAACAGTCCAGTTTCTGGAGGCTAAAGCCCATTTTGCAAACAGCGATAGATACAAGTACATGCGAGCATCTCTTGCCATACAAAACCTAGGTAAAATGGCATGCATGCTTAAAAAAATTACACAATAATATATGGCCGGATAGCCCCATGTTCAGAGTGTGTGTTTACAACAAAGTGGAACAAAAGAGGAATGATAGCAGATGAGTGGATGCGGATGATGAACAGAGTGGTCCGAAAGCTTTGCAAATAAATATCAAAATGAAAAACATTTTGGAAAAAAAAAAAACAACTCTATTCTCTCTCTCTCTCTCTAGCGAGCGATGTGGATGTTGCGAAGTAAGATGATCTAAACACCGAAGGTTGCAGCTTAGGCGGATGCCACACTTCACTTTCTGGCGTTGCCACCATCCATATCCCGCCGTGGAGGCCATGTCAGGCGATGGCCGTGTAGCAGCGATGCGATGCTGTGGCCGGGAGTTGAGAGTGTTCATGACTGAACATGCACAGCAAAGAATGATAATATGACACTTAGGAGAAGCCACAAAGAATTCAACCGGTGCCTCATTTGCGTGTCATGTGTGCTAGTTCTACAGTTCTACCATATTATATGTGGTTTATGCAAGAGTCACTGGCTCATGTACTACGCTCCCTTCCTTGCCGGTGCAAGATAACTAGCCAACGCAGGTTCACGCCAACAGCGTGACTTGGACTATGCTGGTGAGTAAACTCGATGGCCGTGGCCAACCGACCTCGCCGGAACTCGACGGAAATCGAAACCGTCCCATGACCGTGACTCACCGTGCCTCACCGTGGGTGTCCCGTGACTCGGTAGAGGCACCTGCACCTGGAGGAGATGAGACGGTCGGTCTCAGTGGGCTTCGGTTGGCATCGATGCATCTGACTTAGAGGACTTAGGACGATCGGAAGCAACACCAGCTTGGGGGTTGGCAACAGCAATATAAAGCGATTGGTGCGATTGATGCCAATGAAAGACCATCTCTTGCAGCATGGCTGTTTGTGTAAGGGGCATGGGGCTGCACCAAGGCACTACAGGCGTTAAATCGCTTGGAGGCCATCGCTACTAGGAGGGAGGCCATCGCTAGTAGGTTGGAGAGGTCCCTGCCTAGCAAGAAAACCGCAAACTTGTCTTCATCCCTGGGTGGACCATAGTTCATCCGCCGCTTCTCCTGACAGGTGTCATTACAAATCAGTCCAAACACAATCCACAAGCGACCAAACTTCCCTTGACAGCACAGCCAAAGAAGTAACGCTGACCTGATGTCTGATGCTCACTGGAAGCTGATAAAAATATCATGTGCGGCGTTTCAAGCAATTCTAGTCAGGCCCTGGGCCATAGTTCGTTTTCGTACACCTTTGCATTCTTATTTCCAAAAGCGCGATTTCTTAATCAAGGCGATCTTGTATGTAAAGAGTAGCTAAGTCCGCTAAAGTCCCGAAGGTGAACCTAGTCACCTGGGGGGGGGGTGTTTCTTTTCGGGTGAATCATCTTCCCAGAACTCCATGCCAAGCATCAGCTTCGCTTCGATTGTCAACTCCATGCCTTGGACGGACTTTTCAACAAGGAAGAGTCAACTGTCGGCTTTCAGATGTGGATCTACCATTGCGCGGGCAGAGATCCAGGACCTGCCATGAACTACTACTATAGTTCGTGCCAAGCGTGCCAAGAGGGGGAGTGGATATCAAGCCTTGTTGGTCTGAGAAGGTCCAAAATGTCAGATGATACAAAGACATCCTGTTCCGTGCAAAATGTTCAGCATATCTACATATTATACAAATTGCAGCCACGACCTCTCTGTCTCCGAGTGGCAAAGTCTTCACTGCCTTCTCAGCACTCTCTCTCTCGTTGAAGGTGGCAGTAGCGATCAACTGCAGTGGGCACCGCTCAAAAAAAGAACACGCCGCTCACAAAGGCCATCCTTGACCGGAACAACTTCACCGCTTTCGCTTCTGGGGGCATTGTCTGGGCAAACAACTCTGAGGCGAAACGCACACGAAGTCGGCTGTGTTTTGTGCATTTTCGGAGGCGAGACCAAGGCGACGCGAGTTTGTGTGTCGGCTACAGATGTGATGAAGGGATGAAATTGATTGAAACTGCTCATGCGGTGACTGCTGATGGGCAGCTGTTGTATGTTGTTGTGAAAAGTTGTTGTGACATGACGCGACAGCTTTTTTCGGGACTGCCTGGTTCTTCTCTCCACGCATCGTGGAGGGCGGTTGCTCCAGAGCTCCCAAGGTCTGCAACAAGGCCCTGATCTTCGTCATTAGCTGTGCCTCTCCAGCGCGGGCGAAAGAACACCACACCCCCAATCCCTCAAAAACATCTCTATATTAGGTTGGAGGCCATCGCTCTTAGGTCGGAGGCCATCGCTCTTAGGTCGGAGGCCATCGCTCTTAGGTTGGAGGCCATCGCTATGGATTTCCTCGCAATTGCGGAAGGCGTTGTGTCCTTCTCCGCCAGAAGGGGTCGAGGTAGTTTCGCTAGCAGACCCGGAACCGTTGTTTTTCTGTCGTTCTTTGATGGGCCACAGCAGGTCTTCATCCTGTAAACTGTGTGTCCCATAAGACAGAAGAGTAGCGTGTCCCGCAAGAGTGACCAACAAGACCGTGCCACAAAGGAGTCCCACAAGTCCCAAAACTGCCCCACAAGACTGGCCAGAAGAGTTTTCCACGATAATGTCCCACTAGAGTGTCCCACGACAGTGTCAAGAGCACCCCAGACAAGAGTGTCTTACAAGTCACACGAGTGTCAAAAACAAAGTGATGCCCGTTTGTTTTGGAGTGCGTTTTTGCATTCAGGTTCCTGGGTTCCATCTTGTTCCCCACCTGCCAGGTGAGGGTTGTTAGCTTTTATCTGAGCTCTACTCCTCCTTCTCCTTCTTCTCCTTCTCCTTCTCCTTCTGGTTCTCCTTCTCCTTCTCCTTCTGCTTCTGCTTATGCTTCTGCTTCTGCTTCTTCTTCTCCTCCTCCTCCTCCTCCTTCTCCTTCTCCTTCTCCTTCTCCTCCTCCTCGCCGTCTCCTCGCCAACTCTTGATTGCAGTGGGCACTACCGGACCTCAACCACAATCTCGCGATCGCAGTGGGCAATGCCGGACCTCAACCGGCAGCGTCCGAGTCCAGAGGGCACCACCGGACCTCAACCACTAGATAAGAGTGTCAGATAGGGTGCCAGATAGAATGTCAGAAGATATGCCAGATAGAGTGCCAGATAGAGTGCCAGACAGGGCGTCAGATAGAGTGCCAGAAAGGATGCGAGAAGATATGCCAGATATGATGCCAGAAGGGATGTCAGAATATATGCCAGATAGAATGTCAGAAGATATGCCAGATATTGCCAGATAGAGTGCCAGAAAGGATGTCAAAAGATATGCCAGATAGAATGCCAGAAGATATGTCAGATAGAACGCTAGAAGATATGCCAGATAGAATGCCAGATAGAATACCAGAAAGCATATCAGAAGATATGTCAGATAGAACACCAGTATGTATGCCAGAAAGAACATCAGAAAATATGTCAGATACAATGCCAGTAGGTTTGCCAGACAATATGTAAGTATATATATGGCAGATAGAACGCCAGTATGTGTGCCAGATAGCATGCTGGAAAGATTGTCAGAATATGTCAGAAAAAATCAGAAAATATGTCAGACTGGCATGTGATGGTGGGGATGACTCGAAGTAAAGTAGTTTTTTTCATGCCTATGCCTATGCCTATGCCGATAGAAATGGACCTGCAGCCCCACTCCATATTCAAACAGCTACTTTCCAAACGTCACCCGGGGCGCCCGCCTCCTGCAACGTCTGCCAACCCGCTGGGAAATGCGTCATGCGAATCGTACGAGAACCTCGGGAGCGAAGCGAAGCGCAGCGAAAACGCGCGTTCCACGGGTCCCACGGGTCGGCGGATTCGGGTGGCCCGCGAAAACTAGGAACAAGAAGCTACTAGGGTGGAGGCCATCGCTATTCGGTTGGAGGCCATCGCTACGATCGTAGCTAATTTTCTAATAGTAACCAGAACAAAAACCAACCCCGGCGGCCAACATCACTGAAAGCTGTAGGCCCAACTGACATCTGTCTCCACCGACTCAAAGAGGGCCGCCGCCATTGCCTGATCCGGCAATGAAAGCAACTTCTTGTTGTTTTCATCAACAAAGACGTGGCAAAAAATAAAAATATACATATATATATATATCACAATGCGCTTGTCCTCGCAGTGTTCTGCAATTGATCAGCCTAGGTTGTGTTGTCTATCTCTGCTCTTGGAGATGCAATCTGCTGAAAAGCCACTCGCTGATGAAACTTACTAGCCAGGCCTGCTGATTGCCCCGTCCATGGCTCATGTCGCGTAAGCAAGCGCTAGAATGTCAAAAACAGAGGGTGGCTGCAACTGCCTCCCCTATCAAAGTCACTTGCCATCTTAGTACAGTAATGTATAGTAATAGTAATGTGGGGATCAGGTCAAGGGTGTTCCAAAGGTATTGCCCTGTGGCCTAAAAATGTTTCGATTCCTCCTCCCTTGCACCATCTCCACTCTTGGGAAAACAAGCAAACTGATTCTGATGGCAAGACTTGCAAGCTTCACTTGTACTGTCGATTTCGCACAGCCACACGCAACCGGGATAGCTTTTCAAATCCAGAAAAATCGCATTTGTCCTTGTGTCGAAAGCATCCCATGCTTGGAGCTGTTCGAATGCCAATTCAATAAGGGAAAGTCTTCTCTTAGAGTCCATTGTAGTGTATTCCTTCCAGGTGGCGTTTTCATGCAGAAGAACTGCAAACGGCGCACGGGAGTCATTGTGTCACGCAGAGTTCAGAAGTCAAGCGTGCATGTATCATATCTATCATCTGCTGCAGCAATTTTGAGCATGCACTCCGCAGTGAACTGCTGCACCACCCCTTTACCAAGTTGGTGATGACAGTGCTTTTCTTCCTCTTTAGAGTCTGCACGACTCCAGGTCCTTTTTCACCACTTTTACGCTGGCTTGCTCCAATCGGAGCACATCATGGACTTTGGACCTACAACGCACAGTGAACAAACACGTTGCCCTGTACTTGCCGCTGCATGCTCTCATGGCTCTTCATGCAACAAAGGCGAGTGCCGGCATTGTAAATTGGCGACATAGCAACAGGAAAGCAGGAAAAAAGAAAAACGCATATGGCATCGGGTCTTAAACAAAAATAGAAAGGAAACTAATCTCTACACTTGTAAAGCTTTCTCCGATTTGCTGACCACACAAAGGCCTAGTACGGAGGAGCATTGGTTGGCAAAGTGGGGCCGGCTGCCATCGCTGCCGCATGAAGAATTGCTGCCTGCTGTCAAACTGCTGACTCAAGAGTCGCAACCCGGCTTTGCACTTCTCACTTCTAGACAAGCGACTAGCAAGTCTGCTTTGCAGCTCCAAGTGTTAGCTACAAGCACACAGTTTGCCCCAAAGTCAGTCGCTTCGTCGTTGCGCTTCGTCGCTCTCCTGTTCTGCTGTGGCATACTGAGGCAAAGCATCGTTGAGCTCCACGGCGCTCTGGTGGATCGATTTGGCTTGACGCTTCAGCTTCAAACCTCGAAAAAACTAATGAGCTGTTTCCCAAAAAGGCAGGGGTAGGCTGTAAGAGGTTGGCCCAACTACCAGAAGCCAGCAAGCTACTAGTGTTTTTGGATGTGGGCCTAGGGCTCAGGCTTCAAGTCTGCTCGTCTGAGGGCCGGGGGAGCTTTGAAGAAGCCTGAGCCTTAATGATTTGGTTCGTAGATTTTTGGAGGTTATATAGACCCGGCAAGAAAGGGCGTGGAATCTCCAGGAACCAGCAGGGTGCATGGAACCTGGAACAAATCCAGGTCACTTTGTTTCCGCACAGCTGTGACACCAAACATGCCAAACAAACAAAACCCTACCAGGCCTTGATCCACCAGCAAATGCGCCGTTCGGATGATCTGATTCGCCTCATCCACCTTGCCCACCATCTGATAGCCTGAGGCTACTCTGGGTACTCCACAAATTCTGCCAAAAGAGTACAAATCATGTGTGTTCAGGACTGTGAACAAAGGGTTACCTTTGTGCAAGTACTGGAAGTGTGTTGCCGATGGGCAAAATACGCCTGCTGGCAGCTTAGCCGTCACTAGTTACTTGTAAACAATGCGCTACTCTATATGATTTCTACCGTAGAGCACTGCTGTTCGGAAGCGAAGCGGGCGGCACCTTGTGCATGGGGTGCCAAACGAGCACCCTCCACCTCGAGCTGCTGGCCTGCAGTGTTCATCGCCTGAAGTTGGGCGCTTGTGGCGCAAAAGCCGTCTGGGAGGAAAAGCATCTTTGGCGAAGCCGAAGTCACTGAACACCCATGTTTGTGGGAGAGGAGGGTCGCTGCAAGCTCAGGGCTTAGCATTTGGTCACGCAAACCAAATTGCTTTGCCCCAATAATAGGCTCCAGAGTCTGATGTATAAAGATTTGTCAAGCATATTGATATTCGCATCTTAAACTCATGGTTCTGGCAAATGATGGCCATGTCGCGTGGGGAAGCGAAAGAAAGCTACTTGATGAATCAACTTGAGTTGAGTTCTTTCTTGGCAGCTTGTCAAGGCAACTGTATCGCCCCGATAAGTGTGCCTGGGCATGCTGCTGGTACTCCATTGCGCGCTTTTGTGCCTTCAGCTGAGCCTCATGGTATGGCATGGCCTGGGAGTGGCAAACACGTGGCTGACATGAACTCTTCGAGGTCCCGTTGAGTGGCGGCTCGAGGTCCGTGTCTGAAGGGTGAGAGTCTCATTGAAGGAACAGAGAAGGCAGGGACACAGGCCTGCTTGCTCTCTCTCTCTCTCTCTGAAAAAAAAAAAGCACAACCTCAACCTCAACCCTGCCAAGTCTTTCAGCCATCAGTTTCAACTTGTCAAATTGCCTGGTACGCCCGGCTTCTGAAGAACGTGCAAAGACATGGATTCGCCAACCTTTCCGTGTCTCTCACTGACCACCAAGCTTGGATTGGCCCATTCATGGCCCTGAGCGAGTTCTCTCTCTTTCTCTGTCGTTCCTTCTTGTTCTCTCGATTCCCCAAAATCCCTCCGGGCTCCCCTGGATCCCTGGCCGCATCGATGGCAGCTGCAGCCACCTGCGCTTCCTGCGCCGCAGCTGCCGCCCCGCGGCGTGCCGGAGAGGCTGCCTGCTGGGCTTGGTTCGGGCAGCTTGCAGCGCGAAAATCAAAGAACGCCAACAGAAAATAGAAACAGAAACTAGGACTGCTACAACTACGTATGACCACCACTATGACTACGGCTACGACTACTCGTACTTGCTACTCCTACTCATACTCCTCCTGCTACTACAACTCCTGCTGCCGGTACAACATCGAAGCAAACTCAGGTTGCGGTCTCAGGCAGGATTGAACTACCACGGTCTGCAGACAGAACAGTGTAGAGAACTTTTGGCTGTTCTGGCACTAAAGTCTAACACGGCCTGTGTCCATCTCTGTCAAAGCTCTAAAGACCCCGATGAATCCCGATGATATTTCTGGCACCTCTGCAGCTGCCTGGGCACCTGCCTCCTTCACCTGCACATGCCAACATCCAAGCAAGCGACTTCAAGGACCCGAAGAATTCCAGAAAAGGAAACCTTGTCTCCTTGACAAGACAGTGTGTCTTTGGCAGAACTGTCACCTAAGCGTAGAACTGTTCGGGGGGATATCAGAACTGCTACGTACGAGCTGCGCTGTCGTGGCATTTCTAGTATTCGGCAAGGTGTGCTGCTCTCGAGCAAGAAGTGCTGTTAGCTGCAACACTAGTTGAAAGACCTCCTCGGGCACATTTCTATGTGTACTGTACAGTAATTGAAGCATCCCTTTTCATCGCAAGGCTTCAACTGTGTTCGATGTGACACACAAGAAGCATCAGTTCGGTGCCTCCGCATAGTAGGCCATGGCAGCCTCCGTTGCAGCCGCCACGGTGCTTTGCCGCGTGGACTCATACAAGGCCGACATCTTGGCATCCAATTCCTGCCCAACAGCAACATCTCAGAGGCGTCACCCACAAGGCTGCAGTTGAGTATCGTCAAAAAATATCGCATGTTTCGCCTTTGCATCCCACTCCTTGGCTTTTTTCACGGCCTCCTTGGCACCTTCACCCGCCGCCTTTTTCATGCGTCGGGATCGAAAGAGTCAGAATGCTCCACAGCCATGCAAAAACTCATCCCGTGCAAAAGAAGATTCATGTCAATCTCCTTCGCCCTCCTGAATGATACACAAGTACAAGTAGAAGCTATATAGCGAGAAGAGGACTTGCCAGGCACAATGCACCATGGGGGCTAGGTGTTTCGAAAGTTGCCGGAAATTGCACATCGTGCACCTGTCTCGCTCGTGTCGTTCCATTGGAAGACGTTCGCCCTTCGTGACTGGGTACGTTCCAAGACTGTGGTCATTCGGCTGCCAGAACCGTATCCGTTAGACCGTAGCCTTCGCCTCTTCGGGGGGCCTTTCATAAGGCGCCTACCTTTGTCGCAGGATCAAGGCAGGTTTTAGGCTTTCACTGTTTAGACGGGCTTTTCACCACTCGGGCCAGCCTTCACTTCGTCTGCAATCTTAGCGGCATCTTTGGAGGACTTCTTCAGCTCTTTTGCATGCTCCCAAGCCTCCACGAATTGGAAGGGGTGCCCGAGCAAGCCTGTTGCTATTTTCAGTGCAAAAAGTATGTAACCCCTTGGTGAGTGAGTTCTTCAGCCCGAGATCAGAAATAGTGTTGGAAGTGGGGGTTCAGCGCATCGGTTAAAATATGTTGAAATGGCCAAGAGGCCCTAGTAGAGTCCGATGGCTCCTAGTAAGGCCAGGAGCCCCGTTCGTAGCGTCCGATCGCTCCGCAGGCGCTGCGCAGGCGCTGCGCATCCACGCCTCCTCCGAAGCTTTCTTGGCCTCCTCCGCCAAGTCAGGAGCTCCGAGCGCCAGAGCCACCAAGACCTCGGAGCTGTCGCTGTCGCCGTGCCGCTCTGCCTTTTTCAATGCCTTTTCTTCGTCACAGTCTGATTGCCTCGTTCTCCTTCCTGCTCCCTCGTGGCTTCACATCCGTCCACGGCTTTGTATGTTTCCTGACTCCTATTGGTGTGTTTGTCTTTGATGCCTCTCCCCCTCCAAGTTGTAACAAGTTGCAGGCACCAGGCACCGCATGCTTGGCGCCACTACATAAGGGGACGGAAGTCTTGAGACAGAAACGTGCAACGTGCAACGTGCGACTTTGGGCATCAGCGAGGTGAAATTCGAAAGGGCTTTGGGAAAGGCCAAGTTGTGCCCGAAACGAAGTCAGGGGTTCACTAATTCCGATTCAAGTCTAGGTTCTTGAGGGTCATGGAGTCATCTATCTCAAAAGTCGATCACTCGATGCAGCCACTCCCATAGGCTTTGCAAGCTCTCCCAAATTCTGCTAACCTGGGCCACAAGACTGTTTCAAGCGTTTGCTCTCGGTCAGTATCTACACCTAGGGTGAAGAAAACTGCCAAGGCTCCTGGCTCTTCCAAGAGTGCACAATCACCCTTCAAGGATTGATGAGGGCGAAGCGGACTATCTTTGTGTATGTATTTAAAAAAATAACAATAGATAACATATATATATATATATATGTCTCGCAATGCAAACAGTTTGCGCCAATTCATCTCCGTTGTCAAAGTGTTCAAGTACTTGCCCATGGTGTTTGAGTGTATACACATCAAATTAGCTGTCGTAGGTGTGCTTGCCAAAGAACTGTGGATAAATCGACTCATAGGAAGAAGGCCAAGCAGAACTGTGCGCCCACAACTTCTTTGGTGAGCATTTGAACTGGCTATGTCAGCCATTTCATGTCTGGAAGGATCCAGCGAAACAGCACAGTTCAGGATGTTAAGGATCATGACTGGGCCTCTAAAATACTTAGCATCTGATAGCACTGTACACAGGCCAGGTGCTGGACCCTTTCAGATGCCTGATTTTACGGTCCTGAGTCTACTCAGGTGCTGAGACGTACAACTAAAGTGCACTTCACTTCCACTTCTCCTGAGCCTTACCGGAATTACATAGAAAAACAAAAATGCTGTGGATGTAACATCTGTCAAGTCAATGCTTTCCAAACACCTTCAGAGTATGCCGATCATGTACCATTAGAGAAGCTTCTCCTAGAAAAACAGAAATCTGATGCTAGCTCCGCTCATCTCAGACTTTGAAGGCGGCGGGGCTAACCCTGCGGACCAAGAGATTAACAAACATTGACCGTTCTCGCCCAAGATTCTAAGTCTTCTCTCCGAATCTTTGTCGGCGTTTGTCAGATTTAGTCTTTTTCACATTTGGCTAACTTGCAAACCTGTAAGCTCTCCACTGCAAAAGTGGCCGCTAGCAAAAGTAACTGTCTCATTAAGGCCACTTGCAAAAGTGGCTGTAACCTTTTCCCACTGCTCCAACGACATGTCCGAGAGCTCCATTCCAAAACAATGTAGTTATATGAGAGAGCAAGTGTCATGTGTCTTCCTCCCTCGGTCCCCTACCTGCTGGCGATCTCAATGGTCTTCTCTGGTCGCCGCCGCAACTGAGGGCAAATGAAGAATCGAAACTCTGACGGTCCCACGCTCGCAGACCGGCAGATTGTGTTCCAGGTTGAACATGCTTAAAGTGGCCTAGAATTGCCAACGAACCCTAAACGCCTCTTGCACCCGGACGTGAGAGCTTCCCAGCCCCGGCCAGCCCGCACTGCCCCCACGGCCCCATACGCCCCCCACGGCCTGCGGTTCTGCAAGCTCTTTGAGTCGGATCAGGTTTAAGGGCCGCCGGAGCTGCGGAGCCTCGTGTGGACAGCTTGGGGGACGAAAAGCGATGGAGAAACCGTTCGAAGAGTAAGAAGCCGTTTGAAGAACCCCAAAAATACGTTTTAAGCGACCTTTGTCAATCATGTTGTCAGGATGTGTACTATTCACAGATGTCCTAGTTGCATTGCAATTGTTTGTCGGCACGTGTTTGATGTGAATGGGTTGGCCAATCTCTGGATAATTCTGAAATGATGAGTAGATTCTTCTGCTGCCAAATCGGCATTCAGCTTGAATTACGATGGATGCGGATATTCAAGCATCTTGGTCACTTGTCCTTGCTTCCTAGTCATCTTTGTGTATTGTATGTTGTTGGCTCCTTTTGGCTCCTTTTGCAAGGCAAACTTCTGAGAACCTCCAGGACTCCAAGAACTTCCACCCACTTTTATACCCCGATTCTATGGTGTCTATCGGCTGGATCCTGCTCCAATCCTTTGTACAAGAATTGCCCGTGTCACCTCTAACAACAAGCAACAATGCATAGGTCGGACATCCCACCCGCTTCGTCCGGCGTTCTCCTCAAAGCTAAAAACACTCTGAGTGTCCGCGGCCAATGGGACTGGCTTCTTTTCCTCTCGCGAAGTCGTCATGAAGTCACGACCAAAGAGCCATAGCTCAGCCATACAAGAGATCGTACATATCGAGACACAGAAAACCCTTGACTGTTCTGTCTTTCCACAAGAAGAGATCCGCATCTTCAAACCATCATTCGTTCGAGCTCGCTTGTTGGAAAACAATGCTCACTCCTGATTTGCTTCCTTCCCGTCACAGGCTTCCTACCGAAATGTCAGGTGTAAACCAAACTGCTCGGACCAAACTGCTAGGTCTCTGTCCTGCTTGGGCGCCGCCAACTCAACGAGACGGGTCGTATCAAAGGTCCTGGTGAGAAATCCATGCACCAGTGTGGATCTTGTGCAGAATCGTGGCAGGCAGTCGTGGAACTCTCTCTCACAACAGTCCATTAATGGTGTATATATACAGTTACTGATTACTGTACTCTTGAAGAAAGTGAGCAATGTTGAGTGATCGAAAATACTGCAATGTCGTCGAAATTTGGAACAAAACAGAATCTGCTTCCAAATTCATTGCTCGTTCCTTCGACTCGGTTCCACTTCTCCCCTTTCCGCCTGTTGGGATGCACCAGCGTCAGCTCAAAGCTGGCTTCCTGTCGGGTTGCAGCGGAGGCAAATCCAACGCATCATGCAAAGATGCGAAAGAAATCGTTTCTGACTTAGTCGAATCTTGTGCACTCCGGTGTCATTCCATAGTCCATGAGTGGCGCAAATCAGATGGTAAGAGGATCAAAAATCGATGATTGTCAGGATCCAAAAACAAGTATATAATAGTATATAATGCATGTTATATATATATATACCCGGAAAATCAAACAAAATCGTGCAAACCCAGAATTGAAAGAGTGTGCAACGTCCTAAAACTTGCCCAGGGCTTTTCACAGCGGTTCACAGAAAGACTGCCACCAAACCTACCTACCTACCTTCCCTCCTTCCTTCCTTCCTTCCAAATTGTGTTTGATCCTGATACTTGTTATTGATCCTGATAGTAATTTGTGTTTGATCCTGATAATATTTCTTGATACCCATGCCCTGCCCATTGATTCTTTTGCGACGAGTGTTATTTGACTCCACATCTTTCTGATGTAGCTCAGCCAGTGCCATTCTGTCAACAACCAGGATTTCCGCATTCTGAGAATCTGATGAATCTGATCCTCTTAGCTTTTTCAATTCACTTGTCTTCCAGCTCAGCTCCACCACCTGACCAGCCTACCGGGCCTTTGTCGCCTACAGCTCCTTAGATCTAAAAAACACATAAAGACACATCAAAAGCGGTCTTCAGCCTGTGTCTTCCGCCTTACCGGCTTGGCCAGGCGGTGCAGCCGCTCCTGGGGGTTTTCGCGGTGCCAGCCGTACGGCCAGCGGGGTACGGCCTCATATTTTAAACTAAACTTAAACCCTTGGACCGAACTGCATGTGATATGAATTATACACAAAGTGTTTCAATGGGATTCTTGCAAGTTGGACTGACCTGGGTCCAAGTTGGGACTGAGACTCTGCCGAGTTTGTGCCGCCAAAGACCATGAATCTGTTCTGTTTGCCACAAAACCTTGCTGACTTGAAGCAGCGAAGCTGACAAATTTACTATATGAAACATGAAGGCAGGACATCACACATAATCTTTTCTCGCTCAATGC